CAATAGGGTATTTGACACTATCGAAAATAAGTTGCATTTTGTGGTCATCCTGATAGATAATTATCTAATAAAGCTTATTTCTTAACATCCGCAGAAAAAACATGCTTAGATTTAGTAAAATAACGTAAAGAAAATGCAATATTTTTAAGAATTTATTCAACGACGAAAACGTCCTATAATTGGTCGTCGTCACAACCAATCACGATTCTGTTTACTGGCCTGTGACGTCATCAGCTGTCATGTCAAAGTAGTGATAGAAAGCTACATAAAATATCGATGCCTGTAGGTATCGAGTACTTTATAGTAATTAACTGATAACAGAATTCTTTGCCGCTTCTGTTGATAAGAACTGCCAAAAAGAAATTCAGAAAGAAAGACAATTTACTAAGATTTTTAAAAAATCCAAGAAATAGGGAAAACGCCTTGTAAATAATTCATAATTACAAAGTGGATTTTGATGATATGTACTGTTCTCTAAGTTAAAAACTAATGAAAAATATCATCAGGTCTGATGTATAATTATCAAGTGCCATGCATTTAGTGGGCAGACGTACTACATACATTTATAAAAAAATAGTACATTCTTTTTCGTACTAATGTCTCATCCATCTGTAGGTCGACTGGCTGTAAAATGCGAGCCCTGTCAACATATATAAATGATTCGTAAAATTTTTATGCTATAGAATAAAAAAAAACAAAAAGAAAACCTTCAAATATCGATATGAAATAAAAAAGTTTCAATACTTTTAGCGAATCCTTACCTAATTTTATCATCCATCTCTACTCTCTATAGCTACTTATCTATTTTCTTCTAGACTCGAAGTTTGTTTGTTATTTATAGAAGTATTCGTATATTGTGGCACTACGCACCACTTAAGACAGTTGTGACTTATCGATTTGACATATTTACTGGCCTGTGACGTCACAATCAGCGCCATTACATAGAGCAGCGTTTTTCGCGCGATTTTAGCTATTTAAAATTTAACAATTATTTTCACCAAAAATAGAAAATATTCATATGAAATATAATGACAGTGTGCTTATAATGAAGCAAACAACGATTTAAAGTAGCTTTCGAAAAAGTGTCAATTACCCTATCCTTGAAAGTGGTATTCCTCGTGGACTGCCACATTAATATAAAAATATATGTGGCCAAAGGATCTGTTACAGGACATATAGCCGAATGTCATGGTCTGCCGCTTGCGTCGTTAGAGTCTGGCAAGCGAAACGTGTCACAAGAAAAGGGCGGCAATTTCAAAAATTCTTAAGCAGTAAACACTGAATGTAGTACTGCAAAATAATTTTGATACTTTTATTAATTATATTTAATCTTAACATTTAGATATCAATTAAAATTATTTGTTTTTGAACATTTGACTAAAGCGTGACTGTTCTTAATTGTACAGTTAACAGCATATCAGTAGGCCTATTCACTAACTCAACTGACAACCAAGAATCGTCATCACCGTAAAAAATAGACACTTTGATTGTGTCAAAATCACTATTTCGTATTCTCTATCAATGATGAGCAATTTCGAAATGTCAATATCGGCATTCTCCACTGGACTCCATTTTGACACTTGATTTCGTATCGATAAACTGTATTAAAGTAACATTGTTGCAAAGCATATTTGAAGTCGTCGCATAGTACCTCTTAAGCCATTTGTTGTTAAATTAAAGCGAAAAAAAATACGTATCCAATATTTTTCTATTATCTGACTGACGGACTAAATCGAATCTTTTTTTTAACCCATTCGTTATACCTATTGGCTAACAGCACTTATAATATTAAAAATTCATATTTGTCATTAATTAAAAGGGTGTTTTTTGCAACGACTTCTTTGTTTTTTTGTAATGAATATGGGCGACTCTGGCCACATTTTTTTAATAAATGTGATGTTAGCCAATTTTGATTTCTGGCCCTTATATTTATAATGTGTTCATAACACATACATGTCTCCTAAGGGATTTTCATCACAACCTTTTGCTCTGATCCAGAACCACTATCTATCAAATTAAATTAGTCAATATAAACACCAGATTACAATAAAAAAAACATTTATTTTTGTTACAATTAAGTGCCATGGATAAATTACATAATACAGGTGTCACAAAATCATCATGTTAATCACAATAGAAAATTTAAGATAAGATTTTGACTATGAATCAGACTAAAAATATTTTAGTCTGATTCATAGTCAAAATCTGTTTCTAAATATTCTACACCTGATAACAATGACAAGGAATCATCAGAGTCACTCTCTTCACTACTGTCTGCACCAACAGATATAATAAATTTTTCAAGTTCGTTTTCAACAATGCCATCTTTTAATTTGTAATCATTTTCGACATTTAAAACATGATCAGTGTATTTCTTCCAGTCACTAGGGGTAATTAAGTTAAAACACTCTATTATTAAGTTTTCCATTTCCTTTCCTGGTATTCCAATGTTTCTGCTTGCAATTTTTCTTTTTGCTTGACTCCAAACCATCTCTATTGGGTTTAAGTCACAATGATACGGTGGCAGCAATAAAAGTTCATGATTATGTTCTTTTAAAATCTCTTCAGCTTCATATACAGGCAATGTTTTCTTATCATTAACCAAACACATTAACTCTGCCTTTGTCTGATATTCCTCAAAATGTATTCCATTATTTACAAGCCATTTACGGATATCTGCTTTGGTATTAGACATTATAGGCGGTTTATTGATTTGTTTTATATGGTAGCTGGCATTATCCATAACAATTACACTGGGCTTACTTAAATTTGGTATTAATTTTTCTCTGACCCATTTCATAAAGTTCGATGAGTTCATATCATCATGATAATCAGCAGATTTGGATTTACTACTGAACACTAATAATGCACCAGGCACAAAACCTTCCTCAGATCCAGCATGCACAACAATATGCCGTTTTCCAGAGGATATCTTTGTAGTGACACCAGTTGTTGAAGGTCCTTGCCAAGACTTTTTAACTTTATAATTCTGATGTACATAAGTTTCATCAAGGTACACAATTTGCTTTCCTTCGTTTCGTTTTATATTTATTTCTCTCAAATACTTGTGCCTCCATGCAGAAATCTGGTATTTTTCTATAAGCATAGAACGTTCATTTTCATTGCTTTTAAAAGAAAATCCATTCTTAAGCATAATTTTTCGTAAAGTCTCACGGCTACCACTGAATCCTATTGCATCTTTTAATTCATTGTGAAGGCTTCTTAATGTTGGAACAATTTTTTTCACACAGTAAAATTCATTTACTTTATTCCGAATTGCACTTAAATCAAAATTATCTAAAGCAGACACTGTTGGTTGATGAGGTCGTTTTTTCCCAGGAGTGTCCCATTTTCCTTTATTAATTAATGCTTCATTTTTTATCCTTCTTAGTGTCCTTATACTTACATCTATAAAAGATTAAACACTTTGAAACAAAGATATGTTAAATGTATTTAAAAGCAAATAATGATAGACACATACATCAAAATAATTTAAATACCTATTCAACTATGAATGCAATTTATGTTTAATTTAGTTAAGTTTATGTGCATATTTAGCATGTATAACAATTACATGGTTTGATTAGTTTCATGAATTCTGTGAATTTCCTTGTTAAACAAAACATTCTTATGACATCATTGGATGTCAACAATAAAAACCAATACATCATAAAAAACCTATGTAAATATTATAGGAATACTATCAATCTATCTTAAATCAAAACAAGAAAAGAGACCTGTCATTGAAGAAATTTTTTGTAAGTACTGCGTTTCCGAATTCAGCATTTCTTGTTTTTCTAAAGTTTTTATTGCATTTATCTCCTCCATTATTGGTTGAATATCACCATCACAGTTATCTGAAATAGAGCAATATTTTATAAAAAATATCTGTTTAGTTAATTACAGAAAATTAAAACGAAAGTATCAAAATTATAATACAAAACTAACCTAAAAAAGATACAACTTTATCTAATCGTTGTAATTTCTCCATGAAATTTTTATTTAATTCAGTTTTCACTTCAGTAAACTTGTCAATCATGATGGAAAGAAGTTTCCTCGATGAACTTTTTATCGGCTTCGACATAATTTTTAACCAAAAACACAAGTTCAAATTCGCAAAAACAACAAAATTCAATATTCTTGAATTGTCTAACGTAGTGTCAAACTGACAGTTCTATGTTGTTGCCATATGAAAACGGAAAAATAGGTGGTGTCACGTTTCGCTTGCCAAACTCTAGAATTTAGGGTGGGGTATGTTAACGACGCGAATATACAGTGTTATTTAAAAAAAAATATGTAACATAGAGTTTCCATATCGAGTTACGTCTCACGTCTTTTTATTTTTTCTAGTTGTCATTTTATACTCTTTTTCAAAATTCAATAAATGTTACCCTTTAATAAACTACGTCGTTTCCTTTGTAAGGAGGGAGTATTAAAAAAACATTAATTCCCGTAATATAACTAGATGTAGCTACAGTACTTTCTTGATTTCTCCATGACAACTCTTCCGGTTTTCTTTCATGTTTTGTTTCTTTTTTTTTAATACTTCCTCATTCGGAGTTATATTTACTGCGAGACCCTCATCGGCTACACATAGTATAGATTAGATACTGATGAACGTATAGGCGTACCTGTAAATATAATCTCTAATGTTTTAGAGTAGGGCCGAAAGCGTGCGATTTAAAGAAATACTTCGTGCATCATTTATTATTGTAGTATACTCAATACGTGAATCTGTTCTAGTATATATGCCTCTCATAACAAGTGGTTAAATAAAATTAGAATTATTTCGAAAATTGTAAAATGGAGAAAAATAATAGGTGAGCATGACAAGTTCATGCAATTTTACCTCTAAATCTTTAGGTTAGTGTCGAAAATACTAAAAACTGGGTGGATAAAATGTTTAGAAAATTATAACAGGTGTGGGCCTAGTATTCTAAAATACCTAGTAGACGCATCTGTTCTAGTAAACACGCCCACCCCTACTGTCATCAAAATGAAAACTTTCATTTTTCGTTTTGCTTGCTGCTGTCAGTCATAGAGAAAAGCAATAAACTGACTGTCAGTTTTTATGTCTTAGAGAGTAGTGATCGTTTGAACATGGATATTTTCGATAATTTATATTATTAATTATGGCTTCGTCTATGCAAAATAACAGAGTGTCGCCTTCGGGTTATTGTGTATGTTGTAGAGTGTGCAATATGTGGTGTTGGAGAGCTTTTAAGTGGCTCCCAGTGTTGTTGATAGTTTCGATCGTAACTTGGTCCTACTATGCCTACGTTATTCAATTGTGCATTTGTTAGTAAATTAGATCAGAAGAATTTACATGAATACTCGCTTATTTGAACCATTCGTAACTTATGACTCAATTTTGTTTCAGTCACAATCGAAACGACAGTACAACAGTGTCTTTACTTGGTGTTTTATCATATTTTATTGATCATGTTCGCTTGGTCTTATTGGAAAACAATATTTGCAGATATAAAACCAATTCCTGACAAGGTAACATAATGCAATTGTTGAGTACATATTCATTTATTGCTTGATGTGGTGTTAAACTGATGTACTATAATGTGAACCCTGATATGGGCTTTGCAATGATGATAACATTTTAATATCAAAGCAACAATTGCTTAAAAAATCCACCAGCCCCAGGTTTTCAAATGTAAAATTGATGCAAATATGTATGTTTATTTGATCAATAATTAGCAACAAGTTATATTTTTTTATTTACATCTTTATTTCAGTATAAATTGCCTGAATCAGAATTGGAGAAATTATTGAGTGCAGAATCGGAAGATGGACAACGGGCCATTCTTGAAAACTTTGCAAAAGATCTTCCAATAGTAACAAGGTAAGCTTATAATTTGTTAAAATTTAAACATATACTTGCTAACAGTTTTTTGTAAGAAAGACAGTCATCTGCACAAACATATATTAAGGTTGAATGGGAGAATTAAGTTGTAATAAATGTTCTAAAATTATATTTTTTTTTGGCAAAAACTAATGATACTTTTAGTGAACATATGTGCAACTATGCACAAAAAATTATTAAGTACAAATTGAATTTGTCTGGAGCACATTGTATTTGAAATCTTATAGCTGGCACTTTGCAATATCACTGTAGAAATTTGACATATACCCTTGGCACACATTTGATCAACACTATTATTTTTCATAAAAAGGATACAGAATACATTATTTGTGTATCATAATCAATTTTAAATAAACTTAAAATTAGTTACAATGTCCTAATATAAGGCAAATCAAACCCATTAATTTATAACTCATGTATTTTGTTGCTGGCTTAGAAGCTAACAGGAAAATGAAATCACAATGGTTTAATGTGTCAAAATAGTGTAAGAATGTAATAAAATTTAGTACAGTGGATAATCAATTTTTCATGCAAGATTTGTTATTATCTAAAGTCCTTACTCCAACAGTGATGTAATTACCATATTATAATGTAATAAATCAAATAAAAGTCACTTTATCTTTAAAAATTGATATTATGTTATTTTGATTATAAATTCTCTTGTATTCAGATTAAAAAAAAACCTCAGTGAAGTTGTTCCACTTTCTAAAGAATTCATTTTTACTTCTATTTATTCCACGTTGGTGCCAATTCTGTAGCACAAACTAGACTATATTTAGTTTTGACCATGGAGACCGGGAGAAAAACTTATATTAATAAATAATACACAGGTTGACATATCATACGCTGAGAACGATAGTGACACAATGCAAAAAATGTGATTTTGAGTAATGAGCATTTAAAGTTCAAGAAATTGTAATCAGCCCCTCTAACAATGTATTGTCACTATGCCATCTAGTAGTTTCTATGCAAGCTACATTCACAGGGATCATTGCATTTTAAAGTTTGTACTTAAGAAAGAAAAATGTTGCCAAAAGTAAAAAATATGTTGTTTTTTGTTAGTGACATTGTCATTCTCAACGTGCCATATAGTCAAAGTATTATATAAATACTTCTTGGATTATGTATGTGTAGTTTACAAGATTGACAACATAATTGCCACTATTTTAAGATGTCCAAATAAATATATATGTGCAGTGGTGTTGTCATTGTAATATATTATCACTGTCACTATGATGTTGCCTATTGATAAAAGTCTTCAGTACAAATGTGCACGAATCTGCAAGGATTCTCAATCACAGTTACAGAAAACAAAAATTTATAGTCAGAAAGTCACCAGTATACACATATGCTAATTGTTGAGTTTCCAATTTACACTAATTTAAGTTAACAAAGCCCAAGAGTTATATATATAACATGTGCATTATATTTTTAGTGCACACAGCTACACATCAATTTATTACAAAACATAAAATTTTAGTAATTAATTGTGATCCATACTTATTAGGTTTTAATGTTAAAATTAGTCATTTGTCTTTTAGTTCTATACTGTATACGCCAAGAAAATAGAAATACTCGAATCAGCAACAAAACCGAATAATTCAGATGAACACAAATAGTGGAAAAGATGCCAAATACGCCAAATACCAAACGAATATTCGGCGCATCTCTAGTTAAATTCTGTCTCAGTCATTTTGAATTTTGTCACTTTATACTATTTTTCTCAATTCTAGAATAAGAATAAAAATACGACAATACAGTGCCTTGTTTTTTAATCTGAAAAGCAAGAAAGAAATTTGGGAAGATTTTGGTAATACCCTACCAGTTTTGACGAGGTTTGTCCTTATTTTCCAACTAGGATTGAGAAGAATTTTTCCGTAGAAATTAATTGTATCAATTTAAATATGATCAGTTTGTATCGACTTAACTTAGATTTAGAGTTCTGCCGTAGATAGTGTACTTCATAATAAGTTATAATGTCTAGTATAACCTGTAATTGATATGTAATTATATTTAAAGTTCAGTAGAAGCTCCATATTTGCAGAGGATACATTCTTTAATAATGGCTCAAATACAGAAAACACAAATACGGAATGGCATTTAGTATAGAATTAAAGGGGATACATTCCAAGGTTCTAAAATCAAAGCAATATGTACAAGTATGTTAAAATTAATACAATCGAGGTTGATTGTCAGCTTAATAATTTTTTACATGCTTTTGCTTTTGCAGTTTTTAAAGGTCTTTAAATTCAGATTCATAACTAATTTTATGAATATTACAATGAAGCAAAACTTACATGGCGTTATAAAAGCCGCCTTGACACATGCCCAAAGTATTTAAATAAACCACGCTGAATTCTTTTATGTTACCGATTGCATCCGCAAATACACAGATTTTAGCCGGGAGTACGGAAATTGGGTTACATTGGGTAATTGGATTTGATTAGGTAGTTGGGTTTTAACCCACGAATAATGAAAACGCGAATATGGAAGCAGTGAATAAGGAGCTTTGACTGTATATGTCTATGTTTTGATTGGCCAAATTTTTTTTTAATCATGTCTAACTATTTTCATGTACCTATGATATTATTAAACAAAATATCACCATTTAATATAAACCACATTATAAAAGGCTGTTTTTAAAGCACCAGCAACCTTGCAGGGATGTGCAAAATGAAATCATGTTCAATGGTTATATTTTTAACCGACTTAAAAAATATATTTTATCAATTCACGGTGGATGTATGTATTAGAGGTGTCGATAACTTTTTTATATTTTTATTAGATATACATGAAATATATCTAAAAAATATAAAAACACTATTATTAATATAATAAGTTAAAATCTTAAAAATAAAATTTTTGACATGGAGTCGCTATGACGTCACAGCACTCTGAAACGAATATAGTTCTATGTATGCATAAGGTTGAATACTCTGTTTTGAAATTAGTAAGAAGGGCGTGACGTCACGCGCTGTTTGCGGTCACGTGACAACGAGCATAAAATATTAGTTGTTTTTTCTTTCAAATTAAATAGTTTATTTTTATTGAAGCAATATTTCTTATAAAGGTATAATTATAATAGTATATTCAATAATACCAGAATAAAAAAAAATATTTATTGTCATTTACTGTCTACTTCCGTATTTCGTACACCCGTTGTTGGTGTCCTGAAACCTTTTTGGTATGTTTATTTTCTAAATTCTCAGTTTTTAAATAAATGTCATTCATACTTTTAGACTTACGAAAACAAATGTAAGACTTCAGTGAGAATACAAATATACGGCTGTGACGGTGTGTTTTCGTGGTTTCCTTTGAAATTACCTGGTAGCCAAATCTCTATAATCTCTATCCTTTTTACCAGTAATGGCGTAATATTCATATATGTCTATCTGTATCTTTGTCCACAGATACATATCTTACAAATTAAACGTCGGATTACTATGATTATTTTTGTTTTATTGCTTAGCTTTCAACTTAGGGTAGGTACACTACAAGGTTTATCAAAATCGAATCTAATAAAAATGAATCGACCTGTGTATGTGCGTTATTAACCGACTTAAAAAAGGGGGCTCTTAATATGACCTGTACGTTTTTAACCGACCTTAAAAGAAATGAGGTTATCAATTTGATTTGTTATGTATGTAATTTTGTTGGAATATGGCGCAATATTTATATTTTTTTTGTCATCTATGTGCGCTTCTAAACAGGTGTTCTACATTTTGTAGGTATATATCGAGCCTTTTCCGGGAAAAAAAACATCGTAACCGCCAAAAGTCCTATAATGAGGTTATTGTGCTAATCGTACATTACTTACATTTGCACCCTAATCATTTACTTTGAAGTTAAAAATTGTATAAAATTCATTTTTATGAAATTTAAAACTTTTGTACAGCAAATGAGATTTTGTCGCTTGCGATAGAAATTAATGTGTAATTGTCAAGTTCATTCTGCAATGAAGATTATAATTTCGATTATTGCATATGAAATCTTCAACACTGTGTTTAATAAATGTAAAATATGATCATGATTATATTTTTGTCTCTGCTTGCAGGACTATATACGTAACATTTTTAAAAAGATGACACATGTATAGTCCTGGCAAAAAGCATATAATTTGCTTGTAAGACCAGATTTTGCGAAAATAGAAACGTTTGTGGTTGAATATATTTATAATCATATATGGGTAATGGGTCCATGTGATTATAAACGGGCCTCTACACTCTGAGAGCGTTCAATCGAATAAAAAAGGGAGTATATATATTATATTTCATTCAAGTTCTACGCTACGACAGCGATATATACGACCTTGACTTCGAAGCTGTTTTTAAACATAATAACATGATTATGTTTATTTCAGAACAATGTCCGGCTCAGTCCGGTATTGCAACCGTTGCGTACTAGTGAAGCCCGATCGCGCTCACCACTGCAGCATCTGCTCTCGCTGCGTGCTCAAGATGGACCACCACTGCCCGTGGGTGAACAACTGTGTGTGCTACCATAACTATAAGTTCTTCATGCTGTTCCTCGGGTACGCATTGCTGTACTGCCTTTTCATCATGTCCACGTGCCTGCCGTACTTCATTAGATTTTGGAAGGTATTTATTTATATTTATATTCTTATTAAAAACTAATTATTACTATTTTCTAGTACTAGAGTCTTTTACCTTTGTCTATGTGTAAAAAAAAAATCTATGCGTAAGTTTAAAGTTGAGGTCTCTAACCATTTGAATCAGTCAGCACTAACTTATCTTTCTCCAGAAGAAATAATAGGGATTGGTGCAAATGTGACGAAAGAACCGTCAACGTCTTATAAATAAATCATGACGGATCATCCGCCTATTGCAGGGGTCGGCAACTTGCGGCGATCTCTCTTTCATTTCCAAAAAATATTTTACTGTTAAAACTCTCCAAAACGTATAAAAGATTCGTCATGATTGAATATCCATACTATAATATAATCGATTTACCTATCTATACTATGACTGAGAGATAGGCAACTTAATTTTTTTTGTCAATGAGTGGGATTTTGTCGTTTTTTATTTGCGATAAAAAATTTTCGTTATATTAAAAAGAAATCTTTGATTGGTTCATTAAAAAAAAAAATTCAATGTTATTAATTGTTACTTTCGGCTCTTCTGTCTTATAAGGTCCGACTGCTGGTCAGGTGTAGAAGGTTGATTGTCATATCATATGTTTTGATAAACAAAGAATTGATATTCTAACGTTCTCTGAAAGACATTTACGCAACGCATCTGCCGTCAGAAATGCACTGACCGTTAACGTAGGAAACGTTTCGAGGGTTATCTAAGCATCAAACCATTCAACCTTCTGTGTAATCTATATTATTACACTAACTGTTAGTTGCAAAAATGTCTATTAAGAGTTTAACAATAACTTTGAGCATTAATGCATGTTCTAAATTTGAAGACTAATATCGGTAATGTATCAATTTTCATGGACGTTTGTGCAACCAGGTTTAATTGTTATTAACAATAAATATATAACGAAATTTGTTTTTAATTCTTAATTCCGGATAGACTTATCAAACCTTTGCGAGTTGCAAACAGTTTAAATTTTCATGCATGCATTTTTTGTTCTTGTTTTAGTTTCTTAATTTTTTTTTCTCATTATTTATATTTTCTTCGTTCCGTTCACAACTTTGCAGATTTATAGAGACTACAAACATGCCCACTGCGACCGTTTGATTGAGAACGGCACCTATACAGATATATGCATGGATATTGTCAATGTAAATAATTTACAATGCGCTGAAAATCATATTGCTGGTTGTTTCGTTAGATATCACACGACTCGGTTATTAGTTATATTAGATGTTTAGAGACACAATTTTTACATTAAAAAAAAAAACCACCACTAGATGCATAAATATTTGCTATAATAGGACTCAAACTCACAATAGTTAGGGATAGAAGTCGAATTATGTATTTAAAAGTTGATTGTTTAATATATTTATATTCTACATTCTTTGTATTCAATCTCAATTACCCATTTTCGTTCTTCTCATATTGAAAGAAATTATTTGACGCGTATAGTCAATGTTTCTAAACAATGCCATAAATTATAAGACGTCTTATCGTTGACTATTACAGTACATGGGTGATTTCTATAATGAGTAATACCCTTTGATAGTTTATCAGATAACATTTGATATTCCGCTTATGGACGTTGACCAATTTTGAGATTAGTGTGTTACGTCAAATGATTTTCAACTAAAAATACTCACGCTTACATGTTACACAATAAATAGATTCATTAATTGTAGTCTTTAGAATGTTCCACAATGTTTAAAATGTGTATGTAATTTAATTTATTTATATATAAAATTAAAAAAAAATGTATCAATATCGGTATCGCAGTGGGAATGTCTATTTAAATGTTTCATTTTATTATTTTATTAATAACAATGTGGAACTTGTAGTTACCAGTAGCTGTTTATTAACAGTTGTTTAGAATTAGCAATATTTTGTTATCATCGTACTTAACCCTCTGTAGTTATGATGACATTTTTATTGTAATCTGGGACGTAGTTTATCGGGTTTATTTACATAAATAAACTTTATGTTATTATTGCTCGGTGGCGCAGTGGTTAGCGCGTTCGTTCTGAGATGCAGATGTTAAGCAACATTCGCAAGGGCCGGTCATGGGATGGGTGACCAAATTATCTCGAGCTCTTCCGTGCTTCGGAAAGCACATTAAGTCATTGGTCCCGGCTACATGCTGCTGTCGTTAACACCCACCAATCCGCATCTGGCGCGCGTGGTGGGTCATGGCCAATTCTACCTATTCAATTCGATTCCATCTATAGGAAAAGTATCTATAAATAAAAATAAACAATACAATGAATTTCTTATAGGAATACAACCACGAATTTATTTATCTATGAAAATGTAGTTTATTGCTGTCTTGTTTGCTCTTTTTGGTATTTAAGACTAAGAACTACTGCTCTCTGTACAACTACAGCTTGTCTAGTACAGTGCCCGACACGAAAGTAAATCCTGCGCAGTAAACGAAAATAGGTATCCAAGGTGGTGAAGTGTGCGAGGGGAGAAACTTAACCATAGTAAACGGACCATAATAATATAAAAATTTTACATTTCAATAAAATTTGTATTATGTTTCCTCCTGACGTCCGAAGTCCATTATGAGAGAGTACATCGTTTTCTTACTTTTTATTTCCTGTAATGTCGCTATCTCCAGTTCCGTTTCCGCTGTACGTCCGCAGCGCCCCCTAGCGCCCTTAAGAAAAACTTTCTCCCGCCAAAGGCAAGCCGCCATATTTGTCATTGTTCGGCTCATAATGGTGATAATGTTAACCACCAGGAAGACATTATGTGGACTTCGGACGTCAGGAGGAAACATAATACAAATTTTATTGAAATGTAAAATTTTTATATTATGTGTTCCGTTAGACGTCCGAAGTCCATTATGAGAGAGTTGTTTGTTATCTCCTGGTGGCTTGTAAGGAATGTAATAAAGTGCAACAATGTGATAATTGAAAGTATTGTATTAATTACCAATCAGGGTTATATAAACATTAAGAATTACGTTACATAGAATAGATTTAAATTAAATAAAGAATTTAATCATTAGAAAATAATAGAGAGAGAGATTGTTCATCAGTCACGTTATCATTATTGGATTCGATTTGTCTTAGATAGAACTTTCTAAAAGTTTGTTCGTGCTTCCAGTTAGCTTTTGCTAAAATATCGTTAATAGAGTAATTTTCCATCCAATTTAAGGATGCCACCGCCGACCTAAAACTGCCAGCTGATGCTTGCACTCCAGCTTCCGATAGAAGGTGCTTAAGCCAGTTTCGTATAACTGTACGAGATGCAGGCTTAGGGGTGCCTTTAGTGGTTATAAATAAGTTTGTAATTGGTCCACGGATATCATTAGTCAGATTTTTTAATATTCTGAGCCAACGCAATGGATCTATGTTGTTATCGGGAGAAGAAAGAAGAGTCCAGTTAGACTGTTTATAATTGGCGGAGTCTGTTTTTGAACCGAAAGCGGGAATTAATGTAATTGAATTTTGATTATCTATGAAATGACTATCATCACAATGCAAAAGAGTAAGATCATGGACTCTTCTTCCTGAGGCTAGTAAGAGGATTGCTGCTACGCGCTTAGAGACATCATAAAGGCTGTCAGGATTAGGTAACATATTTTTTAAGAAATTAATGAGAATTCGAGCGTCCCATATAGGATATAGGCTGCACTGGTTTCGATAAAGATATTGCTTTCAGAATATGCCGAACTATGTGACTGGATGAAATTTTTGTGTCTGATGAAGTTTCACAAATGGAAGCAATAACAGACTTGTAAACAAGAATGGTTCGGTAAGCTAAACGATGAACTAGATGTAGACATGCCAAAAATCTAGCTACGTCTGTAGGCATGGGCGAATAAGAATTAATATTTTTATCCTGACACCAAGCAGACCATTTGTTCCAAATTGGGATATAAGTTTTCATTGTCGAAGCTCTCCAACAAGATTTTAGTAGATCTTTTTCTTCCGGTGACCAATTTACAGTCAACGAATCCCACCCGAAATGAGCCAAGCTTCCAGATGTAGGTTGCTGACCCCTGGAGGTGCTCGGCCTGTAACTGTGTCCGTAAGGTAATGGTGAAGGTTGATTATCTTTCGAGGACGGGTCAGGGATCTGTTTTTCAGGTCGGGTCTCCAGAAGGGCTTCTTCCACTTGGGTGCTATTATTACGAATCGACCTCGGGCTGTGTTCAAGTGACTGAGTACTCGAGGTATTAAGCCTGGTGGCGCGAAAATCCATGCCAGTTCGTAGTCCCAAATCCTGCTGAAGGCGTCGTGAAAGCATGCGTTCGAGTCTGATAAGTCTAGTGTAGCATAATTCGGCACGACGTGAGCTGTCTGAGAAGCGAATAAGTCGATTTCCGGCACTCCCCATCTTTGAAATATATCTAGTGTAGCTTTGCCTTGAAGTGACCACTCTGCGCCGGTTTGGTTCCTCGACAGGTGATCGGCTTCGGTGTTGTATATGCCTGGAAGATGATAAGGGAGTAGTATAATATTGAGGTTGTCTGTTAGGGTTAGCAACTTCTTTGTCAGATCCAATAATTTTTGTGACTTCGTTCCGCCCTCGTTTTTTATGTAAGATATTACTGTTTTGTTGTCTGTTTGAAACAAAATTTTCGAGTTTTTCAGGTTCGTGGCGTGTGCTGAAATCGCAGCTATCACCGCGTACATTTCTTTCATATTGCAATGCCAAGATTTCTGATGATTCTCCCAGGGCCCCTGTACACTGATGTTGTTGACTAGAGCACCCCATTGGATATCCGAAGCATCCGTGATTAAGTAATTTGTAACAGGTTTCTTCAGATGGATGGGTGTTTTTAAATGTACATTTTCCAGCCACCATTCCAGCTCTATGATTGCATCGGCGGTGAGCTGACAATGCTTGCTCATGGCACGGCGAAGCTGGTTGCTGTGACGCTGCAAAGTTCGGCAATGCAACCTTCCCCGGTGGGTGATGAAGGAAGCAAAATTGAGGTGCCCTAAGAGACATTGCGCCTGCTTGAGGGACCAACTGCCTGCAGCGAGTCGAGTCAATAAAATTTGGCGCAGCTTCGCCAGCTTTTTCGGCGGAAGGGATTTCGTATTGTGGTGAATATCCCAAGCGATTCCAAGAAATTCGATCGATTGTGTAGGTTTTGTGATCGACTTTTCTTTGTTGATTGACCAGCCTAGATAAGTTAAGAATTTGATGGCTGTTGATACGTGAGTCTCTAAGACCTTTCTGTTCTGGTGAACCAACAAAAAGTCGTCGAGATATACTACAAGGCGCATTCCCATTTCTCGTAGCTTTTCTGCAACCCAATTCGTCACTGACGCGAATAACCGAGGAGCCGCAGCTAGTCCAAACGGTAGACACGTCATTTGAAGTAGCTGTCCGTTGTAGCTGACGCGGAGATAAGGTCGATGCTCTGGGCTTATTGGCAGATGAAAGTAAGCCTGGTGGAGATCTAACTTCACCATCCAGTCGAATGGTTGAAGAAACTCGTGCATGTGATGGTGATTGAAGAGACGAAATGGTTTGGGATCCATGAAACGATTTAAGGCTTTCAAGTTCAAAATTATGCGGGACTTTCCCTTTGATTTTATAACTAGGAACATTGGTGAAATGAAGGAGGGTGTCAGAGGAGCTATTTCCAAAACCTTCTTCTTGATGAGTATATTTATCTCCAGCGACATTGCTTGCGAAATCGGAGTTTGAAAATTTTTCATTAGTTCTAAGCTCGGCAATACCAGAGGGGCGTGACTTTTGAAAGGAATTCGAGTTCCAGTTATTAAACTTAGTATCGTTTTCGGTGGGTATAACCGGGACCAATTCTTGTGGAAGAACCTCAAACATCCCCCCGTAAACGTGACCGAGCCATTTTCTTTTATTATGATGTCTTTTACTGGTTCTATCTTTCCGTCCGCCTCTTCTATTTCTAGAGAAATCTTCGAAGGGTTTTTGCGAACTACCGGTTTCTCTTTGCCCATTACGCTTCTTATTGGTGACTCGAAATGGCTTGTTCTCGAACGACGTAGAGGGTTGGGGAGATTTTGGCCTAGGCTGTTTTGTGTTACGATTTCCCACTTTTTCTATTTTATCCAGTCCTCCAATTTTTTGTATGTAAGACGATAATTGTTGAGGGTTAAACATATATTCGCAAGACGGAGGAATTTTCTCTAGATCTTCTCGAATATATTTATCTTTTACGGATTTCAGTAGTGTACGACGTCGTAGTTCAAGAACTTCCGCTCTTTTCCCACAAATAATTTGTAAGATATCGTGAGATACATTCTTATATGCCGAGTCGTTTCCAAATAAATCCTTCAGTTTTGAATAAAGACTCGACGGCGTCATTTGCACATTAGATGTGGCAGACCAGTCAATCAGGTTTTGTAAAGCTGAATTTACCGATTCATTTTGTGCTAGAAATGCGTTCGATAGTGTCGCAAAACTACGTTCCATTTGAAACCATCTTAAAGGAGCGAAGGGGTCTTCTAAACGTCGCATTTCTTCATTTACTTTTAATTCGATGAAGGTGGGGGTAGCAATATATTTTTTCTGAATGTCCGAATATCGCACTGAATTCCAATCAGGTGAATCAAATCTTTGCATGGAAGAAATTTTTGCTAATCTTTCCGGATTTGCCTTAGATATCGAGGGTTCTTTAACGGATACATCTAATTCTGCTATGTCACCTAGCTTTGAAACCATTTCTACAGGAGGACGCAAAAAGCTCTCGTTTTCTATACCTAAATTTTCATTTGGGATTTCAAGGTTTGGAACTATTGTACGAGGCATAGAATTAATCTGCGTATAATTTGACAGTAAAAAACTATTCACGTGACTCACCAGTTGTTGAGATAGTATGTCAAACCTGCGATCCAAATCGGAGCTATCTATTATTCGGTCAGGTTGAGCCACCGACTTCTTCTTTTTAGCCGGCGGGGGACTCGCCTCGCGCGAAGCATCCGATGAAGATCCCCGCGACGATGAAGAACTTTGGGAACTTCTTCGAGGTGAATTTTTATCACTCATGATGTGAAGGTATCCACTACGCGGTTATAAAAAAAATTTACGGAACGGAGACACTTTTTTCAAATAAATATTTGAAATAACACTTTATTTTATGTCACACGACACCAAAAACATAGAATTCTCTACTTTAATCTCGAAAATTCTTAAATTTTTCGCGACATTGATAAAATGCTCCAACCGTTGAAAAAAACGACGCAACAATGACAAATATGGCGGCTTGCCTTTGGCGGGAGAAAGTTTTTCTTAAGGGCGCTAGGGGGCGCTGCGGACGTACAGCGGAAACGGAACTGGAGATAGCGACATTACAGGAAATAAAAAGTAAGAAAACGATGTACTCTCTCATAATGAACTTCGGACGTCTAACGGAACACATAATAATTATAATTCAATCCCGCCATTTGCAAATGCACTTTTTTATCGATAAGTACATTCAAGAAATAGTGATTTATTAATATACAAAATTTAGTCGTTATAGTGTTTTTTTTCGTTTTGGATTTTTAAATCCCAATCGATTGTAATATTTTATTAAACAGTATACAAACTATAATATATGTATTGTTACCTATCTAATATGATATACACTCCTGTTATTATTAACATTGTAGTGATTTGTAATATATGTATATAACGGCGGGTAGTCCGAACAGGCTATTACGAAGCCCAAATAGATGGTCCATATCGGAGGACTATCTTTAAAATAACACTGCAGGCGTGGTATACCAACGTGGATTTGTTCCATTTATCACTTTTCATACGAAAATATAACGAGATGAGTGTGATGTCATCGGATGTCTTTACTCCTCGGCGATCGGAAACAGAATGTGTGCCAAAATGGCGGCAACTTGCTTTTTATTAACGAACTGTCAAAGTCAGTGTCACCATTCTAATAAAATTAAGGGTATCGATGATCACGCTCTCTTTACAATCGAGTAATTAATTAATCGAGTAACTAGCAATTAAAATAAAAGAAACTAAATCAAACGATCTTCGTAATTATGATGCGACATATATGTTGTTAATAAATATTCATAAAAATAAGTTTTACATTTTCTGCCACCACTAAACTTGCGTAGCTGACGCCATATTGGGTTCACTTCCGTGCCGGGCACTGTAGTGTACCGGGCACATAAAAGTCTTTAATGGTATTATTACGTATGTATCATTTTACTTGAGCAGATATATAATATAAAAGGCGAAGTACTATTTTGCGTCAACCAATTAGTTTGTCTCACAGGGTGAGTTCGGTGCGGCGGCGGGCGCGGGGCGTTACCACATCGTGTTCGCTTTCTTCGTCTCGCTCATGTTCGCTATCTCGCTCGGCTCGCTGTTCGGCTACCACTGTTACTTGGTGGCGAATAACAGGACCACTTTAGGTATGTTTAATTCACTTGGTTTACTTTATGGGAAATTTAAGTTCTACTCCAAATTTTATAGATCCATATATCCGTTTTTTATAAATTTTCTTATAAAAAATTATCAAGGTGATATTTTTCCATGTGTTCCTTGTTGTCAGGACAAGGTTTGTAGTCACGACAACAAGGCACCTATTTTAATGCTCTCTGATGGACAACAGAGAGATCAAATTGGTTTGTGTTTAAGAAAAGGTTGGGAATCCCTGATTGAAAATTACACCATACTAATCCAACCACCGGAAACTCAACTGCTATTTTGCCGTTATAATGTAATCGCCAGCCTACGTTTATATTATAAGTCATTTCAGTGATAGACTGTAATGGATATGTAGGTACATACTAGATGTAAGACATTAGATGACGTTAATATCGGCCGTCGGTTCAGCTATCATCACAAATTGGTTCGTCTAGCTATTAATAATATTTCTATATCTATAATATATTCGTTATATTAAAAAGGACTTAGTGATTTTAGATGAGAATTTTCAACCTTTGCTATAAAAAAGGTGGGTTTGGAGCGGGCACACTTTTTGTCCTTGTCGCTCTTGAGCAACGGTTTCAATTAATAAACTGACGTCAAATGTCTAATCGAGATTTGAAATGTTTCTAATCTCATTATACTATTGATTGATCTAGGTACTATTTTATTGATTATTTCAAATAAGATGTATTTATAGCAGAGCATATATATTACGTAGTGTATATGATCAAAATTATTCATAAAGGATATTTAGCCCATACCTGAAGTGACAGCAATGATCATTGTCAAATATAACGGATAAAATATTCGACCTTATTACTGCGTATTAAAGTTCAAGTTTGTTTTCAGATATGCTGTTAACGTACCGCCGCTTGGGTAGTCCTACAGGACAGATATTTAACACTGTTCTTAAGTCTTTGATTAATGGTAAATGCAGTCACTTCTGAGCGTAGTAATAGTCCATTTACATAATCATATATTTAGTTGTTGTGTTAGCGGTAATATTACATATTAAGGATAATTAAATATTTTATAGGTCAATTGTTACATATAGTAGAATATTCATTATGGTTGATGTTATTTGATGCATTTTTCGATATGATCTTTTTAAATAGTAATAACAGTATTTAGAACAGAAAGTTTATTATATTGATAAGTATTACACATCAAGCTTTGAATTACAATCACTATCTTGCACACTACCACTAATACAGAAGATGCATCGGATATTTTGAGGGTATTCTGATTAAAATACAGTTGTAATTTAAATATAAACAATATGTGGCAGTCTGATATTTCCTCATTTGGAATACCTTATTTGATGTTTATCTTTTCAAGTTGGTCCACTTTTTATTCGGCCAACCCAAAAAATATTTATGTAATAAGTTATTGTGTTCGGTGCAATATGTATTCTCCTTCCATACTTCTAGATAAGCCTCGTCTCAACATTCACTCCTTTCTAACACATATTTCACACAATCTATACATTTATTCTTCGGTTTTCCTCTCCTTGCATTAATGAGTTAGCACATTTCAATGTATGGGGTGTCAATAGACGAGTTACATCATCCCATGGTATATTCATTACTGAGACACTATGCACTCTACGATTTTTTGAATATTCCATATGTCAGATGTGTCATGTAAAAAAAGAAAAAGTCTAGTTAAAATGTAATCTACGAGTACCAATCAAATACACGTTGTTTTTTTTATTTTTACTTTTATATCGTATTTAAACTCAATTTTCATTACATATTTCTTGGTTTTATATTACAGAAGCGTTCCGGGCGCCCATGTTCCGAGGTGGGGCAGACAAGAATGGTTTCTCTATAGGCGCCTATAATAACTTCAAAGAGGTGTTCGGTAATAGTCCGAACCTCTGGATGGTACCAGTCTTCACAAGGTAACATTAGTTTCTACTATGACACAACATATTTTTTGCCTATGGCAACACCCAATCACGTTTAGACATGGTTGTTCGTGGACTGTCTGTGATTAGAGATTTACGATAAATATTATAGAATGGTTTACGTGACCCAAGGTAGCACTGACGTAATACGACGCTTAATTTTATTATAATAAGATGGCGCTGTACGCTAAAAGAGCGCGGTATCATTTTGTTTGCTGCTAGTATATGTAATGTGATTAATTTTGCGATTCAATAAATGACATCAATGATTATAAAATAAATCGATCCCACAAAGAATATCTATCAAACTGACTCAAATCAGTTTTGAGGTAAGGTAAAATCGATTTCATTGGAATTGAGTCGGTTCCTTTTTCTTACACTCACTACGATATCCGATAGTGTGAGACTTATTTTACTTTCAAATCTTTTTATAATGGAGTGTCAGCGCTGAAATCGTTTCTACCGTTAACAGATGGCGCTAGTGTTTTACTTTAATGATAAGTATTGTGTTTATAACGTAGTACTTTTCATTTGTATAAATTAAAGAGTGGTCGAGAAGTTGGATGCGCAGCAGTTAGCGCGTTAGGCAGGACTGCGATGGCCGGTCACAGGATGTGTGACCATTAATTGGATATCTTCTGCTCCTAAGTGTTTCGAAGAGCACGTAGTCGTCGATCCCAGCTATAGCTGCAGTATTTAACGCCCAGTAATCCGCAATGGACCCGCGATATAGCCTGTTTTTGTTTATTCCATCCATAGGGAAGGCGTGTGCCTCAGCAATGGGGAAATTAACAGACAAACAATGAAAAAAAAAATCTAAAACTTTAAACCATTTTTTCATTTAGACATATGTATTCAGATGAAGCCCAAATAAACTTAAACCATAGACAAACAATTCGGTAATATTAACGGTTACGGTTACATTTTAACCGCTAAACATAAAATATACCAACTTATTAAAGTTCAAGTTAGTTTTCAGATATTCGAAATAGTTAATCCATTTTTATAATATGTTATAAATTGTACATTTAAAAAATCATCAGCTAAAACCACTATCGCCATCTCTTGACCTTAAAAACGAATAAACTATCAGGTTATATTGCGTCAGTGTAAACCTAGGGTTACGTGCATGTAATCAAAGACTAATAGATTTTTTTTACTAACCGCGGTCAGTGCTGACAATGTGTGATGATCAGTGGGTGCATGACATATCGATGTGTGAAAAAAGAAGTGAATGACCAATTAACCAAAAACAAGCCCAGTAACAATTAGCGTAGTGTTCAATTTGAAATGACGTGTGATATGCTTGAATCCATACTTTATACCTACAGCATGTCGTTATTTACGATATGATGCCGTTTTGTTCGAAATAGTCGAATCCATTTTTATGGGAGTTTTCGCAGGTTTTACCACTAATAATACTAAAAACTACTATTATAATTATATATATAATTCACATCAATATCCTATATCATTGTTTACCATTCGACATACATAAGCCTTCAATGGAATCATGTAGCATCATAGTCAAATTCATTCATTTCATATAATAAACAAACAAAGCATAATTTTATATAAGCTAAACGATGTAAACCACGGCTTCTTGAAATATTCTAGAACTGTCGCGTAAGATCACAATATAAGCTTGAACAGTAAGATACAACCGACGTGACTCACTGATGCAACTGATTAGAAGACTAAATATCAAAGCGCGGCAAATCTTGGCTACTCAGATTGATTAAATAACTTTTGTACCTTACGGTTATTGAAACAAGACTCATTATAAATGTTGTCGTATTGGTAGGACTGCTCTGTGCAAACGAAGTTACACCATGCGCCATATCGGTTGAAACTTACTCTATAAATAGTAAGGCAGTATGATTTCAACTATTCATTTATCACTATAAAATGATGTCACAAAAGCCACACAATGCACGTTATTTAAGACTATTACAAGTAATATATATGCATATATAACTACTATCAAGATTATTTTTTCCGATACTATTTCTTGTTTTTTTTTTTATTAACTGTTTATATTTTGTTTCTATTTTTTGTTATCTATTCATTATAGAATGATCCCTGACACATCAGGTTTAATTATCAGAATGTATTACTGTAAAAAATTCACAAAATTGACGCCATCTTGTGTAATATTGGAAAAACTATTCATCAAAATTGCTACTTATTTTAGATTGCTCTAATATATTTACCTAAATTAAACGCACACTAAGGCTTTAAATTATAGTTCCTTATAATTATATCTGTGAAATGTAGGTGTTTCAGTGGTAGGGTATTAGGGCGTTGTCAAGGAGCATATTATAATGAATAGAGTGGTATGGGAAAGTGTTTGAAACAGTCGTTTTATTAGCCTGGGGGACGGGTGCGAATTCCCAGTGCGGCGTGAACATCAACTGCAGACCTTCACTACCCCCCACGAAGCCCACGGTTACGAGTCAATGGGCACAACTCGCTCCAGGTCAGATCTTACTGACGAATGTCCCTCGGTCGATGCTAAACACATACCTTGAGTTCTGACCATTGGGCGTTGCTAGGGATATATTAAGCTGCCGCCCTGTTTTCTATTTTTGGATAAAGAGGCTGCTATGGCGGTCAAAGTCGTTACTTTATTTGGCAAAGAGGTTACTATAGTGGATAAAAAGGTTACTACACTAGACAAGGAGATTTATCAGTTGCATTTGTCAATTATTGCTCCCCTAGCTACGCTCATGTGTCTGATCAGTTCGATATCCTTGAAAGGACTTATCAGTTGCGTGTAAACTTGGAGGTCCGAATCGACGCTCTTCTTATAGGTGCTAGTAGTCAAACTGAATTAGATTTAATTTCGTTATATATAAGGTTCATTCTTCATCGATATTGGCGAAAGATGAATAAATTGGCGAAAGTAACCACAATCACTGCCATCTCTCTATTAGACTCTTTATTTTATTAACACTCTTAACTTTGTATCATACGTGTACTCATTCCTTTATAATAATTTTAAAATCAAACTCAACATTTACTTCAATCAATAATTTATTCATGAGTTCAATTATGATTGAAGATCCACTTTAGTTTTGGAAACCCAGTTTATTAATGTATTAGAAGTCATTCTTCAATTTGACATACCCACCGATTTTGACTCACCAATTGGCTTTACGTAATCACCTTTTAAAGTAAATATCATTGAAAAGAGATGTGTCAGCTTCCTAAGGCAATAGAACCGTTTTCCTATAGCAATAATGTTTACATCAAGTGAAAGATTTTTGCGCCTTATTATCTATGAAAAGCAGTATTTTTTTACCATCATATAAGGTCTTATTTGACATACTTTCATCCATATATAGTGTATCTCTCGTTTTTGCAACTTCATGTGCCAAAATAAGTTCTAGTAAAATATTTAGATTTAATTCATATTTCTATCACCAGTTATATGAGTAAATTATAGTATTAAATTAATAATTCATATAATTGAGCGTTTTTTAATAATAATTAATAATATTGAAGAGTTTAATGAATTTTCATAAAGGTTAAGATAATGCGAGTCGTATTAAAGCTTATAGAGAAATCTTTATAATAAGAATGATGACTGGGTAAAAAAAATGCAAATCTATTTAATCTGTCAGTTAGATAATAGAAAAATATTAGATACGTATTTCTTTTACTTCAATTTAACAACAAATAGCTTAGATAATAGGCATTAAAGTTGAGTAGTGGGGGCTCGCTACGTCACAGTTTTGTAGAAAACGTACCATAACGTGACGTCATGCGAAATTTCAACTCCATGTATCGCCTTAATTTTATGTATACGAAAAAAAAATACGTGTTTAATATTTTTCAACACTCTACTTGACGGACAACCAAATAAAAATTAGTCGTCATTCCTATTATAAATTATATAATGCTAATAAGACAGAGCTTCAAATGGTTATGCCTTCCAGTTTTTTTTATGTAGTTGATCACTACTAAAGTATTGCGTGTTAAATAATACTCAAGTTATGTGTAATAGCTTGACTGACGGGTGAATTATATTGTGAGGTTTTTTTATATACTTATATATAAATAAATTCCAACCAATGTTTGTTTCAATATACAATCGCTTGTATGCATTTTTATTTCTGAGCTATATACAACACACGAGACTGATGATATTTAGCGAACTGTCAATATTTTGTAAGTATCTTTTGTGCACAATAAAATATTTTTTTATATTTATTTTGGTTTTTCATTTTTTTTATACACGGTAGCTTCTGTATTTTCTTTACAACAAAAGCGATTGATTCTAGTGTTAAATTAGTTTATTATTTCGAGAGAATTTGTTATGGTTTTCACGTATGGTGAGTGCAATCGCTATGCTTTCGTAGGTTGAACTAAATAAATGCTTTTATTAGCAAGCAAATGGATACAGAATTTGTACTCGCTACGATTTTTTTTATTATTAATTCGTCTGTGTGCTGTATATCGTACACTTCAAAACGATAAAAGAATATATCTGCTTTTTTTGCATGACAGGGGTGCTCAGATTAGTAATTTGTATTTTTTATATATATATTTATTTTTATGTATATATACTTCTTCATTTTATTTATGTATATGTCAAATGGGTGATGGTATTAAAAGAAATTAAAAAAATATATGCAGGTAAGAAAATATTTTACAATCTGTAGCACCCACGCTTCATTTCTCCTACTCTCTATATTGTTAATCCAATTTCTTATAATTACTAAAATTTATTCTTATTTCAAAATTATAACGTATTACTATTGTTGTAAGGGTCAAATTAGAACTGGAGCCTTTTTACTATTTTAGCGTGGAGGTCGGACACGAGACTGAAAGATGGAGACTCTGCCCTAGAAAGGGGCGAACCGTCCCACAAATAGTATAAGAATACCGTATTTAATAATAACAGTTCAATACTAATCTTATTTCATTCACAAAATAATATTACTTAATTATATTTACAATAAATTTGTTTAATTAAACATGCTTTTTCATTCATTGGCATTCACCTTATTCAAATGCGAAGTCAAAAGTTAAGTCATTCACTTCTTTTTTTATTATAGAATAATTTTTGCTGTACAATTATTTACGGAATCAGTGTCCTTTTGCATGCTAATTTTATGACGAATTATCGTCGGTACTACGGCAGCTTTTAGTCAGATAGAGACACAGCGTGCTGAGAAATGTGTTGACGCCTTATTTTAGTTAGAATCATTAGGATCACGCTTAACGTAGATTTAAATAAGATACGTCCATTTGCATTTTCGATAGGTCATAGCTTATACGACTTATGTCTGTACTTTTAAAACGAAAAGTATGTAAATAAGTTTTTATTATTAAAATGTAATAGAGGTACAGATATATGTAAAAAAAACGCAACAATGACAACCATAACACCGGAATTCGCTTACATTGACATGTAACACACGTTGCGCACAATTTTATCTATAAGTCCATGGAGTCGTATTTTGTTTGAACTTATGGATGTGGATAGTTTTGGAGACGGCATCGTGTATCCGCTACCGCAGAAAGAAGAAGACACAGAGTCTTTACTCAGCTCGGAGCGTTGGGACCGCTGGGGTGAGCGTGCGCGCCCGTTCGACGAACGCGAGAGTTCGTCCTATGACGAACTATGAGTGTAAGCTCGGCCACCGGAGCTATGGTACAGGCTTGTGTCGCCGAACGGACACGAATGTTCGTCCGAATGTTCATATGTTGTTACTTTATGAATTCTTTAAGAACTATTTGTCAATAGTTTTTCTAAGTACAGTGGATTGTTTTTATCTGGAATTTTGACGTCTCAGAACTTATACTGAGGAATTTTCTGAACATTAAATATATTGACACTGTCTTATAATTGGCTAATGATCATATGAGCAAACGTGCTACTTCGATTTCTACGATCGATGAAAATGATCGTGTGATGGTAAATAATAATGAGTGTTAAGGAATGCTCAGTGTTTGCTGGCAGACAATATTTCTTTGAATATTTCAAATGACATAGGAAAATAAGAAATACAACCGACAATTTTTTATGGATCCAGAAATTAATTTTTCCATCATTATTTGAATGTCCAATTCCAACACCCAAAAGTGCGATGTTTTTTGATTTTGAATTTAAAAAAAGTCGAAAGAGACTAATACCATTAGTATCGTCGTATGACAAAATTGCATCGTTCATTCGTGCGATCGTAGCCAATTAGGACAACGACTCAGAGATGACACACAGTTTTATATAAAAAGTTTATATAAAACTACTGTAATTTATTAACAGTTATTTAATTAAGTTTGGTGAATTTTATTTAAAGCAAGTACTCAATTTACGAAAGTAAAAATATGCATGTAAAGCTACTATTAGACGATCAATCTGGCATCAGTACAATATGTGCCCTTAGATCAGTTTTTTTTTTCTATGTAGGTTGAGAGATCGGTGGCTCCAATAACACGATCAAACATATTGACATCAGTTTCCTGAAAAGTTCGTATTACGTATAACACGTGGATCAATAAATACTTAAAACTGTGTTGCAACAATAAACGTTCTAGTAATACTTTACAAATGATCGTCTAATTGTCGCGTGATAGTACAATTTTTAAGTATTATTAGTTAGTTTTAAAGATTTAATTTTTATAGCATTATGTGTGATATACAGTTATAGTTTTGATGTGTATGTTATAGATAAATACACAAGCCTGTGCACATAATGTGGCCGTTATGTCTGTGCTATGACGCGTTTGCATATGTGGACACTAGTGCTATAATATGGTGCTGATGGATTAATATACATGGCTGTTCATTAGGAGCAATATACCTACGCTTATTGTACAATATGTCAAATTGTAAAGTAACCAGTGGTATATGTGTATGTGGAACATTATTACATGAGAGATTGACAACTCATTTAGATATATTAAAAAAAAATATGCTGAAATACATTTTGAATCGTGCTGAGTAATGTTTGCCCCACAATTAGTGTTTTCAGACTTGTTCCTTTTCGTTTTATATAATGAATCTTATAAATACGGTGATAAGGTTTATTTCGCAATAAAAGTAAAAAAGTATGTAAGTTTAGTAAAATATGTTTTCCAAGCAAATGTATAGTTTTTATGATATATGTTAGTAGTCCAATAATGAGCTGTGTACATATGATGTGCTTTGATTCCCGTAAGACTGCTAATACTATGAAAGGGTAAAATAACTACTTGATCAACTAGTTCAATACGTAATATTTAATGATACTTATAAAAAATATTTGTCACAATTCAATAGAATTATTTCAAGTTGGATGTTAGATACGTATGTTTTTTTTATGATAGTAGTTTTGAAAATAAAAGATTTCGATATGGAACAAACATTATAAATGTGTTTTATCACTGGTATTATTCTTAATAATAGTTATTTCCAATATTAAGTAGGTATTATATTTTAAAGAAATTTGTTAGAATATTTTACAATGAAGTTTGGTTGTTCTATCGGACCGCCATTTTGCTGCCCGGAAATAAGATTATTTTGAATCAATTATAATAAAAGTTATTTTCGGCCAGTGCACATCTGAAGGATAATCCATCGAGCATATTGACGGAAGTATGAGTAAGTAGCTCGGTGGCGTTGTGGATAAGCGCCGCGGCCCGCGATCTTTGTTGTTAAGCAACTTTCGCAAAGGCCGGTCACGGGATGGGTGGCCAAAAATTATTATCTGTGGTTACTCTGTGCTTCAAAAGGTACGTTAAGCCGTTGATCCCGCTGCATTTGCAGTCGTTAATACCCCCCCATCCGCATTGGGCCAGCGTGGAGGGTCATGGATGGCTCATTCTCCTTAACCATCCATAAGGAAAGCCTGAGCCCCTGCAGTGGGGACGTAAAAAGGATGATGATGATGATGAGTAAGTACGCTTCGTAGATCAATCAGTCGTGTAATAACTTATACTTCCGTGAGAGACTTGACTGATATTCCGTCAGATTTGCACCGACCTTAAGTCTCAGAAAATGTGATTTATTTAGACAAATAATTATATTGGCAATTTCAAATAACTTAAAATGGCCGCTCGATAAAAACATTTGAAATATTCAACGCTCTTTCTTGTCGTAAATAAGGTTGCTTGCACATTCAATCTCCTGTGGACAATAAACTATTGTCTGTTATATTCTGCGGAACACCAAAGTAGAATAAGCTTACTAGAATAAAATTTAAGTAATTTTATAATCGTCCTTAGGGTACAAATGATAAGAAACATTTTGCAATTTTAATACAAGTAACTTGATGTTTTCCGGTTTAAGGTATTCCATTTATATATAAAGGTAATGATATTTTAAAAGGATCGGTTTGTAAACTGTTCGACCATAGAATGACGGGTAAATATACAGCCGAGTATCTTATAAAGGTTCTGTTCTTCGTTTTAAGATGCAGAACCTTAGGAAACTTAATAACGTTTATCAAACTCTTTTTCTATAATCTAACATTTTTTTGTTTATGATATGTTGTTATAGTATGGATATGCCTGTGATTCTGGGATTGAAATATGAATATTAATTAATATGTACTAATATAGCTATTTTCCATTTCGTTTGAGTATTTCAAATTTAGAAAAATGTATATATTTTGATCGCATTTTTATTAAGCATATTATAGACTAACACTCGTTTTCACTAATCTAGAACAGCAACTAGGAAATGTCTAATGTTTTTTAAATTCCAAATAAACAAATTGCTTTATCCAATGACATATCTGTAATCTGATATGCTACATAAACATAACACATTTCATAACTTTGGGCATTAGGTGGCTCCTAGTAATTATTGGCACGCGTTTCACGTTAGGCTAAGTTTAGTGAAACGGACATGAGACAACACATTGAGAGTACTTAATTGCGTTTTAGTCATTTTAATGTATCGATCAGGTACTCAGGTCTTACCTACTTGATATTTGATGGATGAATTATGTAACAATTTTATTAATATAAGTCTTTTACGATTTTATTTTATATATATTAGACCGTTCTGTAAGATTGTGTTAGGTGGGGTTATAGTGTTATTTATTCTAGAGAATTTATTACATATGAATTACATATATTTGTCACTCTTTATCTTCTCACATATTATATTAGCAATAAAACATACGTGTTAATTTAAAATTCCAAAACTGGCGTGTTGTTTGTGAATATTAGTTATTGGGCTGTGTTTCACTCTCTAGATCAGTGATTCTCAACCTTTTTTTTGTTGCGGCACATATTTAACGATTTCAAAATTTGGCGGCACACAAAGAAAAAGATAAAAATTATTTACTTACTTCAACACACTGCATAAATAGTTTATGACAAAAATTTTAAATATACAAAATAAACTAATATTTACTACAATAATAACTAAACGTTTATTAAGGGATTAGTTACAAGCTAATAATAAAAATATTTTTAATTCTAAATTTCAGCTTGATGTTTTTTGATAATTTCATTTATATTTGGTCGTAAAAATGACAATGCTACTCTCATATCGTCTTCTACATTTAACAATCTTGATCTTTTTTTAGTTTTAATGTTGGCTAATGCTGAAAATTCGAATTCACGCAAATAAGATGTGAAAAATTGTAACAATATGTTTAAAGCTTTTTTGGTTTACAAATTTATAAACTTTCACTACATGCAAATAAATTAATATTAAATCGAATCACATACATTTGCCAATTTTAACAAAAGAAAAGGTGCAGTAACTACTATGCAACACCTTGTGAATCCCAACTATCACTAAAACAACACGTTTTGTACGCAGAAGTGGCAAGTGTGCGCCGACTTGAGACATATTCCTATTGCTATGCACGCCGCTTCATCATAATTTGGCACTAAGAAAAAACGCGCTGCAAAGCAAATAATAAAATAATTTATTTTTTTGTGGATTTAAATATATATTCATGTTAAAAATATTTTTCTTTTTAAATGATATAATTTAATAATATTAACATTATTATATATTTGCAAAATTTGGCGGCACACAAAAGTGCCGCGGCACAGTGGTTGAGAATCACTGCTCTAGATAAATGTTTCAATCTCTTTGTTTTATAGAGAAAAACAAGGATAAGAAACAAAGCTATATACATTCCGTAAGTACAATTTCGTATTGAGATCATGTTAGGTAAAAAATCTCCAAGCTATTTTATGCTTGTTTATGTCTATTGTTAAGTTCCAAATTGCAGAAATTCCTTCTGTCGAAACCTGTATTCTTTTTTAAACTAGTTTTATCATGCCAAAGCGTGGCATGTAAATTGAACCAAAACGGCTATTTTTCGCGCAAGTAGAGTCGAGGACTATATTGCGTTGCTATTAATGATTACACACTCTGGTCTCAGCCTCGCGTCTCCATTAAAAATGTCCTACTGCGCATAGTTCAACTTATGTGCCACGATCTAGAAAGTAATTCTGGTAACGTAAGCTTAATTATGACAGTTTTTGTTACTTGATCACAAAATAACAAACATGTCTTCATTGATTAATGAAGACATTCACTAGTAATATTGGTCTTCAAGTAGATAATATAATGGCAAACTGCAATAGGGAATATTACGCAAAACTAGATGGGAGTATAGCACATGTTGTAAACAAACAAACATTTTCTTTAATTCTTACATCCAAATATGCAATGATATAATAATACTTAGGTAACATGGACCGGCTGGGTCGTCCGTATAGGCAAACTAGGCAACTGTCTAGGGCGCTTGTGTTTGCTCTTTGAACACGAATACGTGTCCGGTTTTTAAAAGTACAGTTTTCAAACCAATAGTACCTAAGGAGTTTCTTTTGTCAGCAAATTTACACTCTTTAATCGGTGTACCTACATTAGTCTTTTATTTTGTTGTGATTTTTTTATGGGCGCCAAGATCCAATGTTTTGCCTAGTGCGCCAAGTTTCATTGAGCTGGCGTTGGATAAAATTTTACTCACATTGATTCAAAAATATTACTTTATTCTTGAAGGACGTTTGAAGTTTATAAAAAAATGTTTACTACATGTGCTGGTGCTGTAATCTAGCAACAGAAAGTTGCAGTAATAAGTCCAATTAATTCCAAGAGAAGCCATCGCTACTTTAACATTAGTAGAATTGACGCCACCTACCTCTCTCGGTTGCATGCGCGAATTGCACACGTTCCAGGACGACAGAGATGAGTACTTAATTCAGTTTTGATAGTGTGCAATAGATTCGAGCAATTGTCATTTTTAATAATATTGTAATTGGACAAAAGAAATTGTGTAATGGTTTTGTATTATATGTAAAATAAATCGAAGAATTTATGATTTTTCTTTTAGCTCTTTCTACCTTAGCGTATGTCTGGAGGAGTTTCTCTAGTTTTGTCCTTTTATATCAAACATTGTTGTCGATCTACCACCGCTCACGTTATTCTGGAATGCGAGATCCTTGCAGGACGCCGAGGACACATACTAGGCTTAGGCTATTCACCATCACCCCACGAACCCTGTGAAGACCCTAAAAAGTTTCTGCGCTTCTGGCAAAGTTGGATTGGCTAGAGTAAGAAAGCCAATTTTTTAAGCATAATAAATGCAGAAAATTGATGCCCCCTATCCTACGATCTTATTTGTCGCTCAGAACTGTCTTTTGTTAGAGCGAGAAAGATCGCGTGTTTAATATCGCATCGACTTCGCGGGGTGTAATAGCACACCTGCCATTTTTCTCACTCGAGTAAATGGTGGTTCGGTACGACGAGTAAACATCGACGAAAATACGCCCTAAAAAGGAACAAGTACTTGAAAAATTCGTCAGTCCTGTTAGATCCTGGGTAGCTCAGTGGTTAGAGCAGTCGACCGGATTGCGAAAGTTCATGGGTTTGAGCCAGGGCAGTGTGGATTTTTTAAGCATTTTTCATTAATAATTTTCAGTATAGCATAGTAAATGCAAAATTGACCAAATATTAGAAATATTTTTCTGAATACCGCGTTTAAGCAAGTGCCTCCATTTTTTGGCGGGTAATACACCATAAACCTTCTCCTAAGTTTGACAATTACTATGCGGAAAACCGCATCACAATCGGTTCAGCCAAACGCGAGATAATCGCGCACAAACATACAACTCAAATTTAGAACCTCCTTTATTTGAAGTCTGATGATACGAATTCGATTCGCACGCAATGTCTCGTACCTATGACTATTTTCTCACTCACTATTTCATATCCACAACCTTGTATAGGTAAGAAACATTTGAAGACTATACACAAATAAAACCACAACAAATTTTGTAAAAAATAAGGATTTAATCACAATTAGGTGGGGTAGTTTTGAATTACATTAATCACAAAAATCACATGTATTCGATACATTTTAGTATGAACAACATACAAATAAACATTAATAAAGTTCAACTGGATTTTATCTTAAAATGGCACTGAACTCCGTTTTCACGATAAGAAACAGTAACAAGTATTTCATAACAATAATCTTATGTATTTAACAAAATCAACGTTATTATAATAATGTCGTCATGTTATGTGGAAATTTTAGTTATACTATATTTAGAAGAACTAATATTCCGAAACGAGACTATGAGATTACTGAATCATAAAAAACATAACCGACTAACAATATCAAGAATGAAACTAAACTAAAACATAAAGTAGCAACACATTATCACAATTGTAAACATTAAGATTCAAAAATAATCATAAAACAATATGAAATTTAAGAGGCCATTACCTCCAGTGGCAAGCCATAATTATAAACATTGTTAAAAAATAGTTACTTATTAAATAAATCTTACATTAAGACAATTTTCTCTTTAGATAAAAAAGTATTGTGGGTTTATGTTATCATTAGCGTATTAATGTCCCCGCTGTTGGGGCACAGTCCTTTTCCATGAGTGGACTCAAATAGGGACCGGCAGGCATCCCCCACCACAGGGGCACAGTACGGATTGGTGGGCGTTAACTACTGCAGATGCAGTCGGGACAACGGCTTAACGTGTCTTTCTAAGCACTTTAATCCATATAATAAATTTTTGGTCACCCAGCCCATAACCGGCCTATGGGCTATAAACTGCGTCATCGAGCTTGCTAGAATAGATTATGTGATGATTCAAATAAGATTATAGATGACTGCAATTTTACAGTGGAATTAAATCATAGAAAGGGAGTTCTGAATATTGTCACTGACTATAGACACATTACTTCTCGTACGAAATAACATAACACTTGAAGGCCTTTGAAAACTAATATTGTCTATTTTCGAAATGCTAATATGGATCCACAGAAACTCATTTCTCGATAAATTATGACGCAAGTTAGGAACTGACATTGCCTCTAATGCACAGATAATCATCAAGGATATGATTTTAACCAAATTACAAGATGTTATATGCCTATATCGGGTGTCATGTTATTTTTCACGAGTTATACAGGAATTATAATTTTAAATGCTCAACGCAGCCAACATCTCTCTCATTTTCTTAGGCTCGTCCATTTTCAGCATATCCCTAAATGCGCGTGCGCACGTTGCCTCAGTTTCGAGATTCTTCGACACCTGATGGGCGCGTCTTGTGATTTCTTTAGGTATGCCGGCTAACCTAGCCGCGTTAAAACCGTACGATTTCGGACAAGCCCCCGGTGACAATTTGTATAGAAAAGTGATAGTTTCCTCTGGTATATCGTCTTCGTTGTCCGGCGTTGATTCATCCGTTTCCACCATGCAGGCCTAAAATTGTTGATTGAAATACAGATAAATACCATTTTGCGCCCCAAAATAAAACACCAATTAATATGAACGTTGTATAGTCTATTCTTAGAGCAGTCGAGAAAACGAAAATTGACTCATAGTATATTATGAGCGTTAAAGGAAAACCATACGTATCGCTAGAGACAGATATCGCTCTGCATTATGGGGCGGGGTCAGCTACCTATAGCATAGCATATCGCACAACAAAACGATGTACTTGGCGAAAACGATACGCTTATCTTTTCTATTTCAGGGAATCGCATCTCGAGCCCTAAGTTATTAAATGATTTCTTATCACATCATAGATAGATGGTACTTAATAAATTCTAAGAACACATTTTGGCCAAGCAATAAATTTATAATCAACAAACTTTCCTGGTTCAAATTGTGAAATCAATGTTGCCCAAAAACTGCAATCGAATCAATTAGTGATTGAAAATAATGACTGAAGTTAAATTATACGATATTTTTAGTTAAAATTAAAATCTCATTTGCCCGGATTGCAAAGGGTCGTGAGTTCTAGTCGCATCTCAGAGTTACCTGGGGCAAGTGGATTTTTTAATTAAGAATATTTTTCATTACAGATGTGAATGCTAAATTAATCAAATATAAAAAGTATATGAAGATAATGACAATAAATAATAAAAACTGTAACTTAGCAAATCTAAAAACTAAAAGTATATCTAGCTGATTAAAAACTATTTGTCCAAATTACCATATGACCCAACAGGACACCCGGGTGTGAAGCCAGATGGTGAACTAACGAGTGATAATGCGTCGAGAACACAACGCGGCATCCCCTGTCCGCCAACTCTGCACAAACTCCTGACGCTATGGCAGTGCCGTCATATGTCGATGTGCCACGTCCTATCACATATATTTGCACTTTTATTCATATATAACAACTAAGTGATTTGCCAGTTCTTTTCAAACAGCTAACGCCGTTGGTACACCGACGCGTTCGCTTGCGAATGCGAAACTATGCAAATGATGATAGGGTTGTTACCTTTTGAGAAAAAATTTTTTGATATTCGGATAATCAGAAATCGGGAAAGGTGGCAACCCCGAATGCGAAACATGTTCGCCTGTGTAAACCACCTTAGTCGTAGTTAACAGCGAAACCGTGCTGACAAGAACACATATATTTCATCGAGCTAAAAACAGAGCGAGACAAAGTACGTGCGAATCATTGCCCTACAACTAACAAGATTTCGCAAATGTTTCATATTGCGTCGGTGTACTAACGGCGTAAGGAAAAGAATGCATTGTCCGGTCATGTATACCCCAATCGGTATAACCTAGCACTCTTCAAAGAATAAGTTCTTCCTAAGTAGGCATATACAATCTTAGACCATATCCTTCTTACCATCAGGTCAGAGTCTTAGAATAAAATATAAAAAAAAACCGTAAACGAGAATTTCAAACGAGTACTATTAGCATGAAAAATAAGACCGACTCGAATTGCTATCGAGCAGAAACAGACATTAAACTACATCAATATATAAATGACAATATATTTTACTCAAAGTGTAATGAAATGACAAAGATGACAAATTTTTGTGCGTCTGTCCGTCAGGAAGATTATTGAAGAACATTAAACACATTTTTTTTTTTGCGTAATCAATAAATTCCAGAGATACATTTACTACATAGTTGTAACGTAGCAAGCCTCTACTCTTGAATTTAATGTTTATTATGTAAGCCATTTCTTGTAAAATTGAAGCAAAAAAATACGTCTAAATAATCTACTTTTTTTACTATCGGAATGACGAAGTAAATAGACTTTTTTTTATCTCGCATCCCCATTTACTATAACCCTACAATACGGACCTTTGCTTTTTATACAATATATTTACGACTGACAAAAATATATTAAAAAACTCACCCAACTCATCGAGCAATACCAAAGAATGTACTGAAGCATGTTTGACTATAGCAGCAGTTTCATTCATCTCTACTAAGAAAGTCGACTGGCCCGACAGAATATCGTCAGATGCCCCGAGCCTTGTGAATATACGATCCACCAAGCTTAGACTGCACTCTTGAGCTGGCACGTAACTGCCCTGTTAATATGAAAGTTTTGGATGGACCTTTTTTTTTATTTTGATGGAATAGGGGTCAGATGAGCAGACGGATCACCTGATGGTAAGTGATTACCGTCACCCATGGACACCTGCAACACCAGAGGGGCTACAAGCGCACTGCCGGCCATGGAGGATAGGGTTGAGGGGTAGAGGGAAGGGAATAGGGAGGGGTTGGGCTTCTGGTACCCTCACTCACACGACAAAACACAACGCAAGCGTTGCTTCACGTCGGTTTCTGTGAGGCCGAGGTATCACTCCGGTCGAGCCGGCCCATTCATGCCAAAGCGTGGCATGAATATTAGAGTAGGTACGGTGGCCTAGTGGATAAACGCTGTGGCCCGCGATTGTTTTTATTCAGCAACTTTCGCAAGGGGTTACGGGAGTTTTGAGGTTAATAAAAAAATATTATTTCAAGCTACTCCGTGCTTCAGAAGGCATGTTAAGCCGTTGGCCCTTGGAGGCATTTGCAGTCATTAATACTCTCCACTCCGCATTGGGTCAGCGTGGAGTTATTGCCCATCCTATTTAACTATCCATAAGGCTTGAGCCCGAGCAGTGGGGACGTAAAAGGGCTGATGATGATGATAATGGTTCATATTACAACTATGTTGGCAAAAAACTATATCAAATATTCCAAATTATGTGTCGTTATCTATACCAATATTGTTTTATTGAATAGCGGTTAGCAAATATTTGGTTAGCGGCTATATTTATGCATGCGGGTCTTAACAACCAATGTTAATGCGACAAAAAAGAAATCGTAGATAAATCTAGTTGCGTAGTGGTTCACAAGGCGGTTTCGAGGTGTCGCCACTTCCGGGGTCCCAGGTTCAATTCCCGATCAGGTAAAAAGGGACTTTTCTTTATTGTCTCGTGTCTGGATGTTGTGGTATTTTCGTTCTCAGATACTAAACAATACTTGTCTTGGAATCTGAGCAATTATGTGATAGCTTCTAATATTTATTTATTCATATATTTCTACTTACCAAATGGGCTAGCACAGTGAGTAATCCGACTTGTCGCATAAGCGTCGACTTGCCCCCCATATTGGGCCCAGTCAGGAGTAATAAACTAGCCCCTTCCACACCGAGACGAGTGTCGTTAGGAATGAAGTCATTCACTATAGGAATGCACGGATGGCGGCCTTCCACGATATTTATATATGGCTAAGAATACACACAAAATGTTATATAAATACTAAAAAATTTCAAATTGGTCTTTAAATGAACATAAGTACTAGACAATTCAGCCCATATGAGTTAAAAATATGCTTTCAAACCATAGTTTGTAAGGATTTGGATAACTTTGGAATAACAAATTTCCGCAGTTCATTTTGAACTTTACTCTCAATACATTAAGATTTAAAACCAAGTGAAGACGTATGATACTTTTTGTATAACATTATGTGCTGTTGACTGTACTTCTTACCCGACTGCAAAGGAAGGGTTATATTTTTCGCGCGAATCTTATATGTATGTATGTTATTGCATAATATCTTTAGGACCGTTAAACGGATTAAAATAGTTGAGGTATCGTTAGATTTGTCTTAGTAGCATAAGTGTTTTTAGATAAGTAATGTTAAAAAAAACTAAAAATAAATATAAAATTATAATTATTTATTTTAATTATAATTTTATATTTATTTTTAGTTTTTTATTTTTACTAAAAACCCGCCTGTGCCAAAGACAACTAACTGAAAAAGCTGGAATGTTGCCAGATTTCAGCACTAGCACGTAAGTAAAAAGTTTTTTTATAAACATCATTCAAAGAGTAATGCGCAAAGAGTAAACTAACAGTGGGCACATTAGGCATTTAATATCTTTTGAATTTATAATTAGAAAGAGTGTAATTTTATTTAATAATACATCATTACTGTATATATGGATATAAGAAAGAAGGGAATCAATAACTGAGAAAAGACAAAATGTTCTAAATATGTTTCTTTAATACATGCGTTATAACATAACATAACATTTAATTGTGTAATATTCTCTATTGACACAGTTTAATTTCTTTTCTAGGTATTGATTACCTAATAAATCCATAAAATTGTGAAAGGTTGTAGGTTCACCTCCCCTTTTGGAGTCTGGGGCTGAGTCTCTCCCCTTCTGGGGCTGAGTTTTAGACATTTGTTATTAAAGATATTTATCAATATAGTATTGTGAATTCAAATATGCTCATATATAATAATCCATAGAAACGATTAATCAAAGAATTTCTTACCGTTTTACTGGTGTCAAAAGTGATTTCAGGCAAACATATATCACCACTCTGTTGTCTCGCGAATTCACTGAGCGAGAGGACGATATCTAGCGTCGCAATACACTTCACCGCTGACTCCCATTGATTGTAATTAGTGGAGAACTTCTCGAACATTCGGCGGCTCAAGTCTTTCAGGACATTTGTCTTTTGTTCCTCCGCTGCCATCATACGAGCTAAGAAATCCTGATTCAATCAAAATCTATACTTAATATTATAAAGAGGTAGAGTTTCTTATTTTTTTAGGAAATCTTCGGAAATACTTATCAGATCATGAAAATTCTTTTACCAATGGGGTAACTACATCATTCGCGGGTACTACAACTTAAACGGGCGATGTCGCTGGAAAACAGCTAGTTATATATTTATATATCGCTTTGGAAATCTTTGGGGGAGGCCTATGCCCAGCAGTGGGCGTCTCTCGGCTGAAGTGATGATGATGATGATGATTAAACAAAGTCGCTTCCCGCTGTCTGTATGCTGAGATTTTTTAAGCACAACTGATTTTAATACGTTTTTTTTTCAATACGCAGTGATTCAAGAGGAAGGTTTATATGTATAATACGGGGCCACGCAGGCGTAGCCGCTGGCAGAAAGCTAGTATAATATAAAACTTATGCAACGAAATTTAAAAATTGGGTTATAACTAATTGATGTCACCATTATTATACTAACAACAGAAGTTATTACAAAATAATATCATTGATAGAATGACATAAACGAAAGAGCGTCTCTTTTTTTTCTTTAAGTACACGATCATGCAAGTCGGTTTCAATTCAGGAGATTAAAATAAATAATATTATAATATGCACACAAAAAATAATTTAGATAAAGTAATAGAAGAAAATATTTAATTTATTCAAAAATTATTATAATTTCATTTACCTTAGTTTCCGCGGTGGAAAATCTTTTATAGCCTTTCCTTGCCCCTTCCATGTGATATTCAGATCCAGCCTTAGCTGCTGCGTTTTGTGGCACTTCGATTTGGTATCGTTTCTTGTCTGAACCTACGTAGGTGAGCTAAAATAGATCTTATTTTCATTAAATTTGCTTTTAATCAACAATATCATGAATGTTGAAAAAGAAGTTAGTTCTTTATTTAGTTGTACGATGCCACTACAGCACAAAAGTAATATAATATTTAAACTGTTCAGTTATCATGTTACCATAACACTGCTGCAAGTGTTTAATGCCTGGCCTAGTGCCCCAACTGCCATTAAATTTTTTGTAATGACAGCGCATGAGGAAACCTACATTAAATAACTGCTTAAAGATTTATAGAAACAAAACAATTATAGTGGTCAAATCCTATCTAAACTGATGAATGAACTGAACTGAATTTGAACTATCTCAAACAAAATCTAATTTTAAATAAAAAAAAAAAACATAAAATTTCTAATTACTTTTCCTGTTTATTGAATTATTTTTATTTAATTAATATTTCTTTTGTACATTGTTCAAGATTTTTTTTTGAGCTTTATAGATCATGGAGAGGATTGTTAATAAATTTAAATTACTTAAAAACTATTTATATACATTTGAGATCCTCACAATAAGCCCTTTTATTTGATATGTCTTGCAGTTTTATCTTTCCTTTTTTGGTACGGAATCCTCAAAAAGGAGTAGTAATATTCTGTTTACACAAATTAGACTAAGTTTAGTATAATCGTGCGGAATTTTAAATGTTGTAAAAAAAACTAATATAATAGAAGTTAAAAGTGCTAAAACTCACACGACATTTGAAGTATTTCTCTTGCTGTTTGAGATAGTCGTCCAGCTGTTGCTGTATATCCGCTATGAGTCTCAGAGTACTGTCGTATTCAGGATCGACGCCCGTGCCGGGTAATAAGCGACCTTCTTTCTCTGCCTCTTGGTGATCGAACGCTTCCTAGTAGAAATTAAACCAAAGGAATTTAAGAGTTGTAATATTAATTATTGGATAATAATATACCTATAAAAAGCGTATTTCTTTTTTATTTTAACCTTAATTGCAAAGAAAGCGTGATTTTATAAAAAAACTTAAGATTTTAAATATGACACAAAAACAAGGCAATTCCAGTTGTGACACTTGAAAAAATTTGAATTAAGACAAATAAAACTATGCCATATTACACTGTCTTGAGATAGGATACCTGCCTTAGTAGTGTAAAACTAATTGTATTAAATAAATATAAATCAAACATACCATAAAGAACTTTAATGTTTCTCTGTAATCTGGGAATTTTCCAATAGGAGAGTATTGAGTTATATTCCTCAACAATATAGAATTCACATCGGAAAACATATCGACCAGCTTCAAGGCCACTTTGAACCCATTCAGTACCGCTATGAAGTCCAGAACTTTCTTCTTAGAGTAGATTTTCTCCTCGTAGAATATCGCTCGTGCGTCCGGATGTTGTTTGGACCGTTTCAAATTCCCCAAGCTGTGTACTCTGTAATATTGTTTATTAGTTAATTCAAATTTTAAAAGCGTATCAGGTGTCCTTTCGAAAACACAATATTTTTAAATGTTTCAGAATTGCTGACTAAAATAAAAAATAACAAAATATGAAATGCATTATCATATTCATTATATAGTATAGTATGATAAAATTCATGTATATAGCATATCCTGAAAAGGCTTTATTGAACGCATATTTATTATTATATTATATATATGTTTATTTAAACAACAGTGTCTTACTTCGCTAGCAATCGCTCTAGGTCAGGTAACGTAGTTAGGATATTCTTGGCCTCTTGACACAACTCTTGCTTTTCGAACACCGTTTTGACAGCTTCTTGACGTTGTTTTATAACTGACAGATTGCAACTAGGAGCACACACCCACTGGTACAGCCACCTGTAAAACAAATAACAGTAATCAGAGTTGATAAAGCAAGTTTGTTTTGAAGTTAAGTATATATGAACATAGATATGACTCTTGCAAAGTTTTAAAGTTGGCTACAACTTATAATAAACAAAACGGTAAAAGCTGGAGTTTGAATAATCATGAAAAAAAAATGAACGGAAATGATACACGTTTTCTTTTTTATACTCACAAAGTTTATATTTAAATCCCGACAGGGATATCCATATTATGAACATCATAAGTAAAACTTTAAAATTATTTTTTCTAATTAAATTATTTAAGATTAATTTACTTCAATTTAATTCTGAGTTATCATAATTGAGAAGGTCTATAATAATAAATAACTGCTTATTAATTATTATTTCACATTTACCTGAATATAATTTAATATTTTTGAATAGACTCTTGCAAAAGTACAAAACATTTTAAACATAATAAAAAAATCAGAGACTGCAGGCCGTAAGTATTATACTATAAATTAAGTGCTAGGGTTCCTAATTATTAAGATATTTATATTTGGAACTTTTGTTTTTGTTGTTTTAAATTATATAATTATATAAAATAAACTAACAAAACAATAACTGTGAAATAGCATTGAAAAAAAAAAAGGAAAATATATATAAATTTTTAAAATTATTATTATTATCATTCTGAACCCTGTTAATTGACATCAACTATGATTATTAATCTTGGATAACCCACCTTTTCCCCATAGCAGTAGAGCAGAAATTCAATCTGTCATACAAGCACCCATCATCTTGGACTATTCTTAAATTCCTGAGTGTGATAGCATCTAGCACCATTGTACTACCGCCTTCCCAGCGATTATCAACCTTATTTTCTTGTGATAAAGTCTTATTTAAGACGTCTGGGGGTTCGTATAAGTTGAACTGTGACATGCCCAGGATTTGTATGTCTAACAGACAATCTGTCAGATATGAAACGCAACCACCTAATGCTTTTATTGCCAATGAACAGTGGGCAGCTGGAGTAAGACCTAATGCGTCACCTGGAAATTAATAAGATAAGACAAAATAAACAAACTAGTACATGTAAAACTGAACCAAAAGAAAGTTATTTCTTAACAATAAAGACGACACTTACATTATTGGTATTATGATGTTTGTTTATTGGTTCTTCTGAGACGTTAATGCATTTAGTTGGAGAAAAGTCTTTTCGTATTAAGTATGTAATGAAATCTTTCTGGCTATACTATTTGTATTTGTAAGATAACTTTGAATTTAAATTTGGAAAAATGTGTGATTCATTGGTTTCAAAATGGGTGAATTTAATCACGAAATTCAATACATTTTAAATTTCTATTACAAAAAAGGTAAAGGGAATACAAATGTCAAAAGTATTTTTATGTAACATTTCTCAATCACACACCTTGTTTATATATATTAAATTATTAGACAATATCGTATACATTGCTCAGATTACAAGACGAGTAGCTAAAGCCCCTGTTTTATGAAGTATCTGAGATAACGAAGGTACCACAACACCCAGACCCAAAACAATATTGAAAAGTTCATTTTCTACTTTGACCCGAATGGAAATCGAAGTCCCGGGACCTAAGAGACAGTGAAACTTTGAAACTGAAGTGGTTTTCCCCATTGAAAAGATTAATTATGAGAAGAAATGCACTAAAATTAAATTTTAAAGATATATTTTTTTTTAATAGAGAATATAAATAGCACGTCCTGGCGAACATAACATTTGAATAAGTAAACATTCAAAATGCTATATTGTTATTTAGGTTTAAAAAAAATAATGCTCATAAATTTTATTTAAAAGGAATATGTTCTGACGAAATAAGCATGCTTAAATTTTAATATGTAATGATATCATTATAAAAGTAGTTCATTAGGACATTATATCTTTGTTCACAAGCCGGCCTGCGTCCACCATATTGGAGTTATAATGATTCGATTTCGAATAGATATATTAAAGAAATTTTCAATGTTACAGTATTTTACTAATTGATTTTATACATATGTTTACATTACTCTTTCATTCAATAATTCATCATAAGGGGTAAAATTTTAAGCATAAGCAAAAATTAAGTTTAGTTGGGCTGGGAGGTGTTGTTAATTCATGCGCTGTATAGTCTTGACCTTGCACGAAGGTGCTTCTAAATCTGGGAAATCTGAAGAGATTTTCTGCTGTTTCTTCAGAATTCTTTTGGCAGTGTCAGGTTAACATCGTGCAATGCTAAAACCACTTGTTGCGGTTTTTTGTTCAGAAGCCAAAAAATATCTATAGCAATGGGATCATGTCCCTACCTACAAGATAGCAAAATGGTATCTACATATTTTAGTTATATTTATTTTTTTTACTTTATTACTTTTTAATATTCATATAACATGCGAAGAAGCTTTTTCCCCAACCTATTAGTAATAAACAAAACGTTTTTTATTGCAAGCTACAATAAAAGATAGAAAATCTCGAAAACCTTACGTTTCTTGTATGGGAGACCCTATTAAATAATCAATTCTGTTTTTAGTACATAGTTTTTGTTATAGTGGCAACAGAAAAATTTTAACTGTCTAGCTATTACGGTCCATGTGACAGACAGACAGTGGAGTTTTAGTAATATGATCTCGTTTTTACTCTTTGGGTACCAAACCTTTAAAGGACCAAGATTCGTAGTCTTTTATTAATATAAAAAAATATGACTTCATAATTAGGCTATTTCGATTCTTGTCTAATTGTTCAAATGTTCATTTATTATAAAATTTGTAAATTTATGAAAATATTTCTCTACCGTGCGAAGATAATAAACAGAGATTTTAATGTATTTTGACTTAACGGTACATACATTCTTTTCTTTTTTTATTCATATGATAAAAAAGACAAAATTATAAAACCAGCGCCATCTGTTGACCGTTCAAACAAATGATTTCCGAACTCAAATTAATATTTCGACTTACCCTCATGCAGAAACGGTTTGATCCCTTCAGGCCAATCACCTTCGGCATTCGTTTTGTAATATTTTTCGGCCAAAAGCTTTAATGTTTTCTCTGGCGGCCACAGATTCTGCGGTTCTCGTCTGGCGCTGTGGCAATGGGTGCTCAGTAATTTACTCACACGAGGCGTCGTTGTTTTACGATCGTAAATTATCTGATGCAAATGAAATATTTTTTAAATAGATATCAGACAACATCACATACATTGCTCAGATTACAAATCAAGTAGCTAAAGCACTATTATTATGAAAATCTGAAACATCGAAGGTAACACAACACCCAGACCCCGAGACACAATAGGAAAAGTACATTTTCTAACTAGGACTATCTAATTCTACCTAGGTAATATCATAAACAACTACTTTTGATCCACGAATTCAACTATAACTCAATATTTATAACAAAAATAATATAGGTATGGTGCCTGGGTAAAAGAAAAAGAAATTCTATTTAAGCCATGAGTCAGACGATAGAAAAATTTTAGATGCTTTTTTTTACTTCAATTTAATAATATTTCTTATTAATAACAGGCATTAAAGTTGAAGAGTGGAGGCTCGTTACACCACAGTTTTATGGAAATGTACAAAAGCGTGACATCATATGACATTTAAACTCGATGTATATAATTTGATAAATTACCTACGCTAAAAATAAAAAAAATATGTGTATAATAATTTTCAACAATCTACCAGACGGACAAGGAAAAAAAATTATAATCACCACCTATTGTTGTGTTATTTGAGTACCTACCTACATATTAGATACTAGATGGGCGTTTATTAACATTCGGATGGTAAATGAAATTATTTTTTTATATGACAGCAAAATGTTATAGAATTTTTTATTAATATTATATAATTACCAACGCAGGTGGATAATGAGCCAACGTTGTGAGTAACCTAGATGAGTGTTTGTCATCTCGAAACTGTCCCAGATGGAATATACCGATGGAGGTATCCAAGAAACATACTCCAAAACTGCTGGTACTGCTGCCTTCCTAAAAGCACCAATAATCTTCAAAAATACATGAATGTTGAAGAACAAATCATGACATTTAATTTACAAAAACATTAATAATTTCTTTACAATAATGTTATCTGAAAAAACTCCAAACGTCCCTTTAGATCGCTTGAAGCCTGCTCGACAGTCAAGAGATGTTAGCATGGAACACAAAAATCTGAGCACAACATCAGTGACGCCAAATTTTGTACCAGTTCAGCGCGCAGAAGTTTTTTTTTTTACTTATGGGATAGGGGGCAGACGGGCAGACGGATCACCTGATGATAAGTGATTACCGTCGCCCATGGACACCTGCAACACCAGAGGGCTACAAGCGCGCTGCCGGCCTTGGTGGGAAGGGTTGAGGGGTAGAGGGAAAGGAATAGGGAGAGGTTGGGCCTCCGGTACCCTCACTCACACGACGAAACACAACGCAAGCGTTGCTTCACGTCGGTTTTCTGTGAGGCCGTGGTATCACTCCGGTTGAGCCGGCCCATTCATGCCGAAGCGTGGCTCTCCCACGGTACCCAAACAAATTCGCAGTAGCTGAAGAGTTAGTTCATTTTCCAGATGGTTATCGATCGTAATTACGGTCTGGGTAGAAAGAATATGTAGTACCATAAATTTATGGATTTACCCTTGACAAGCAAGAGTAACTTGACAATTAATCTTTTTATGAAAAAAAAAAAACTATATATTTGTCATTCTTACGCTATATACTTTACTCTTTGTTCTTACTTTTCATGTACGTAATAAAACCGAATTCAGTTGAAATATTTTTTATATATGCATTTATAGTTATAATCATCATAAGGGCCAGCCAGGTTCTCCTTATATTAATATACGCTGTCCTTGTCACACGAGATAACAAGGAGAGAGACCATCCACATTCCAACTTCACAATATCATTTACTCATGGGTTTGAGTAGACTTTTTCTGTCTGCTATGTTATAATATCGGAAGAGGGTATATTTCTGCCTCCACCTAATCGACATTTTAAATGGGCGTTTGTCAGTAAATTAGTGAAATATATTAGCGCTTTATTTTCGTTGAAATTAACATAACAAGATGTGGTTTACAAATATATATGATTAAATCAAGAAACAATATATATTACCTCCTCAGCGATAGCCATCATGTACGATGCTTTAGCCTCTATAGGACCGGCGTCCTGCAGTCCACATATTTGAGCTCCTCGCAATGTCACTTGACAAATTTCCCTTCGGACCACTTTGTCCCATTTTGTGTTTTGACCAGCTAGAAATTGAATTTTAATACATTATTTCGACAATAAGCGTCACAGTCAAAAGAATGTTCAGCAAGTCCTTACATTAAATTCAAAGTTTTATACAACCGCAAAACATAGAGATTGTAGATTAATAGGTATAAAGATGAACACAGGTATAGATTACAAATTTCATAATAAAATTACTATAGGATCATTTCATGGTAAGGGGGTCGTCCATTAATCACGTGAGGCTTGAAAGGAGGGGGAGGGGTTGTCAAAAATATCACAAGGGGGGAGGAGGCCGCGCCGGGCCTCTTATCCTGGGGGGCCTCCAAATGGCTGAAAGTTCCCTTGATCAAATCATAAATTGGGGTTGAACTGCCTTATCTTTCTTAGTTTCGTAGTTTTAGCAGGCGTCTTAGCAGGGGAGGCGGTGTAAACATAAAATCAAGTTTCTGCACCAGTTGTAAAAAGTTGTAGGTACGGACCTAATACCGCCCCGGGCCCCCGAAAGGGTTAGTCCGCCACTGACATTGGGTGAGACCTTGGAGAACCTAAACACCATACTTATACCTATACCATTTACGGAAGCGAAAAGTGATTGTTCAGAATGGGTCTCATAAAAAGGTTGAAGGTCACAAAGCGAGCAATGCTTGGTGTTTCTTTGCATGATTTTATTAGGAATGAAGAGATCTGTAGGAGAACCAACGTTACTGATAATACTCAAAAAATTACTCAGGTGAAAGGGCAGTGGGCGGGACACATTACTAAAAGAACCGAAAGCTGTTGGGGCGGAAAGTTTGTAGAATGACGATCACGCACCAGACGACACTCAGTGGAGAGTGTCTCCCACTAAGTAGTCCTACGATCTTATAAAGGTTGCAGGTCAGGCAGGACTGATCGGCGGGCGTCGTAAGGCTGTTGATGTTGATGGTTCTTATGTATTAATCAGAGTAGAAAAAAATTATAGTACGTCGGTATCTGTCAGGGTCCTCCAGAGGGGAATTCCAAATGTTTGGAAAGGAGATGAAGCAAAAGTAATTTATAAGTGTTCCCTTTTGATGCATCCATACATAATGACGTCGGAAATAATTAATTAAATGGAAACATTGATATTTTCGAGACAGGGTAATATTTAAACTACTTCATCATAACAGATTACATACATATAATGTAAAAAAACCGTTAATAGGTATAAAAAATACATGCGTTTTGTGCTTTTTTTACTTGTCCTGACCATCAAATTGTTCTAATCAGAATTTGTTGAAAATTATAATTTAAATCAGATATTTACGTATCGAAAATTTGAACCTTTCAGTACACACACTACACACAAAATTATTTGCATTAATGAAATTGATAATTTCTTACAAACTCTCAAAAGTAGTTGTAAGTCCGGTGTTCATTAAAGGTGAAAGTTTCAACAGTCACAATTATAACATTATATTTTGTTATTTGTAAAACATAACATAACTATGTGGATTTTTGTAATTAGAGTAAATGTATTAAATTTTCAATTACTGTTAATATCTTATGTGTACTGTTCAATATAACTACAAAAATATGTTTAAGTACGCAAAAAAAAGTAAAAATGTTTCGACCGTCGCTATAGAGTGACCCTGTATGTTATGTCATATCCATATTAAGTTATGTGCTTGAGACAATTAGCGTAAAGTAGTTTAATCTGCATGTTTTAGCCACCGATATATTTATTTGCTAATATATCGTGTTAACAACAGGAACTCACTTCTCTTGCATCTCTCTTGCATCATATCTGGTGTCTCTGTCTGCTCGACGCGTGCTACTTTATATCCTTTAGAGATAAGAGTGGAAGCCATTCGTGCATATGCGCTTTCTGGGAAGCCCGAATGTGCAAATTCGCCCTATAAAATAAAATATTACAATGCATAATATGAATATTGATGCATATTAGTGGAATACTCTATTCACTACTATAAAAATCATATTTCTGATATAATATTCAAGTTTAAATATTATTGCGGAAATATTAACAGATTTAAAATCGATTGAAGTGATTTTTTTAAAGGCAAGAGTAATGTTTAAAAAACCAGCAATACAATAAGATATATTAAACAAAAACAAGATGTACACAAAATAAAAGAAAAAAATCAAAATCATAAAATTTTTAATGATTCAAGATGGCTCAAGATACTACTATCAATAATAATAATCATGATGTGATGTGCGTTATGCGGCACCTAGATGTGCATCTGGACTGAGTGATCCTTTTTCAGTTTTCAACAAAATGTACATTTAGTCAAAATTTGTCAAAACTCAAAACCGAAATAAAAAATTTATCATTCTTAAGGGGTCGAAGATATTGCCCAATATGTGGAACACTCAATTCAGACATTAGACAAAATGGCTACAAGCCGAATCTTGGGAAATACTTACACTGTGAATAAAATTTTAGCTTATAAGTTCCCAATAAATTAAGAACAAGGCATAGCTTAGCCTTGTTCTAGGTTAGTGAAAATGGGTGTTAGTACACACTTATAATAACGCAATAGCTTAAAAGTGAAATGGGTGTTAGTCTTAAATCTTATATATTTACCTTCATATAAGAAAACCCAAGTTCATTGACTCCTACAGCAGCATCCATGTGATACAACTCATAGAATTTCCCAACTTTGAAGAAAAGAACACAATCATAATGCGAGGACTTCATATCCCACCACTGGCGATGCGCCTACAACAATATACAAGCAATTGAAATAATTTCATGATAAGAAAGTTTCACAATGTTAGTACATATATTTTAATTATTATTTTTTATAGCCTTTTATAAAAATAAATCTGTTCGGTACTGTGAAGCGTCACATGCTGAGGTACCCCATAATGCGAAATTATTCTAGCAAGTGCAACTTCAAAGTCCCATGACTTTTTTATTAATGTAAATATTTAAGAATATTTATCACAGTATTTTTTGATTATGCTTTTTTTTCATTATAAATACAATAAATAGATTAGTAAACTTTCTCATTGAGCAGTTTGTAGCTGTTTGAAGCAATATTAAACCAATTAGAACTAGCAAATTTATTACATAATTTTTGAATTTTTCTGGGTCTGAGGTCTCTCTTGTTTTAATTCATAATCATAATTAAACAATATATTTATAGATCAAATTTTATGTGAAAAAGACAAAGCACTATACAACGCATATATATTGCTTATTGGTAAGGCATAAGCAGTAGATATAATTTTATATCTTAAATAGGATTTAAAATATTAACAAGAAAAATATTTCCAGATTATGCCTAAAACAATGCCAGGTTGCTAATTTTAATACATATAATTTACCGGTGTCTGACTATTCATGAAGTCAGGTGGCACAAATAATGTAGTAGGATCATAATCAGGATGATCTGGTCTCCTTTTCTTGGCATCACGAATCTTATCAGGTTTGAGCCAGTCCAGTTTGCAGTGAATCCAATTCTCCTCATCAAGTGGTACAGATTTCTCTTCAGAATCAGATTTTACTGGTGCTGTGGATGTTCTTAAGGCAGAGAAATTAAAGATAACAAATAGTAAACTTGTATGAAAGTATAAATTATTTGATAGAAAAATCTTTAAAAAGTTGCAGAGCTATGAAATATATTTAATTGCATTTATTATTTAAAGCATTGACTTGATTCTTTCTCATTCCAATAACAGCAATTTATCAAGTCATCAGTAAGAGTATAAATGTAATAATAATAATATTCTTTATTGCATGCTACATAGGACATATTACAAAAAAACTCAAAATGAGAATAGACAAAAGGCAGTCTTGTATATACATAGCAACTTAATCCATAACAAATTTAGCTAGAATATGATACCTATTAGGTGCAGGTTTTTTCTGTATGCTAGACTTTGGTGATTGGGTTGGTTCATATTTGAAACTGCTCTGTAACTTCTTTTCTATAGATAATTTTTCTTCAGGGGTATCTGTTTTATTGTCTGCTGAATAAATAATTGTCATTATTTAGAAATAAGTATAACTGCAAGTCCACTTTTTTATTGAAAACAATTGTAACTCACTATAAACATATATTGCTTCAAAATTATCAAAACTACATTTTCAGGTATGCTGAAGTAACATAATTGTTGAAAATATACTGTTTATGTAATATTCAGTTTAATTAATCTGTAGTAAATTAATCAACAGTGTAAATTTCTCCTTTGAAATTATGAAAAAAGAAATATGAACTGTATAATAAGGCCTACAACCCTTCAAGTCTAAGAATATTTGACTTGTCAAAGTGTACTTTGATACTAACCCTTGTTTTCAACATCAGAATCATCGGAATCTATAGGATTGAGCCTGATCCTTTTCTTCTTTTTGGGAACAATCGGACCTTCATCTTCATCGCTATTTTGGTTATCAATTTCAGGTGATGGTGTTGACTGTCTTTCACGCTTTTTATCTATGATCAAATATGAAATATAATAAGGTAGGTATTTTATTTTAATAACTGTTATCTGACGACTTCGACCCGTAATAGTCTATGTCACCCGCATATAATGTACCTTCCCGAAGGTGAAAGAATTTTTAAAATCAGATTAGTAGTTTCTGGGCCTATTTAATAAAAACGAACAATAACATCTTTCATGTTTGTAATATTACTGTAGATAATCAAATAGTAGTCTTTTAAATATAAAGCGTAACTTACTTTCAATTTTCTTTTCTTTTTCTAATAGCGAGGAATCCAATTGATGGTTACTATCCGTATCTAAATTAGATTTAAGTTTTTTGTTTGAAGGTGGTGTTTTCGTAAAATAATTGAAGAGTGTATTTGACGCACCAACACTGTTTCGTTTCGACATTTTTAGAGTATCTATTCAATAGTTTAATATTTATTATAAAATAAGAAACCGGTCAATCCGTAATAAGCGTAAACGACACGTTTTGGCGGAAAATTTAGAACTGTCAGTCAGCTGTCGTTGTCAATGTCAGAATGCAGAGTATTGTCAAATATCTTGGTTCTTCGTTTAGGAATGAGGAAGTATTTAAAAAAAAAACAAAATCACTAAAAAAGCACCACTTTTGCACCGACTCTATTATAGCAAATTTTAACTTTTAAAGTTGATTTTTGCAGGAAACGAAAGAGTCATTTCCGTTCCTCTTAACTAACATATTAAAAAACTGAAATTTGAAATGTGCGAAACTTAAATATTAATACAAATACGATAAAGCACAAATAGAATATGAGTTGTTTACTGAGTTTTGAAAACTAATTTACTTTTAAACATGAAAGAAAACCGAAAGGTTGTCATGGAGAAATCAAAAACGTATCGAAGCGACATCTAGTTTGGTTTCGGGAACTAATGTTATTTTAAATACTTACCGAGACGATCGATTGGACTATAAGCGCTTGTCTGCAAAATAAGATTTTGTCGAGGCTATCCTGGTGGAAAGAATTATATCCACCATGAAACCACTCAGCCCCAATGTGGATAACTGGATTTTAATAGTAATATTATTTTAACGAATATCGTACATTGCTTAATTATAAGTCTTAATTTAACATGGCCGAACTGTAGTGGCCTAAACTTATAACGTACAATTATTGGTTAGCCTAACAGTTGTTTTGGCACTATCATAGTTTGGTCTCAGAATTGAAAGCCCTAATTTTAGAATTCCTAATATGAAATCCACTAAAATATATTGGCATATCTTCATTTCGCTTAAATATTAAAAGCTCTCATTTTAGCATTTCTAATCTTAAATGTGCATAACAAACGAATCGCAGCAAAACCGACACCGCCGTAAAACCGACATCACGTAGTCTTGTTTGTCCGACTCCTAGAGTGTAATTTAAGGCCGTGTAGGCGCGGAGGGGCGTGGTGGCCCGCGAGCTGAGGAGCAGGTGGTTTTAACGACCACCGCCGCGGCTGAGGCCAGCAAGCCGAAGCTGCGGTGGTGGGCGGAAACCATCTGCGACGATAAACTCGCGTGGGACCACCGGAGCCCCGCAGCGCCGGAGCCGTGACAGAAGCCATGCGTGCAAGCATGTAGCACGCAAGCAAGCATGCAGCACATCAACTCAAACGTCAACTACTCTTTAATTATTTGTTAGAATACCTTCCTACTTATTAATTAAGTTTTATTTATTATATATTTAAACAATGTAGTCGCTGAGCAATTTTGCCTGATAAAAACGTTAAGGCGTTTTATACTTTCGTGCGTTTTAATTTTGTGCGCATTACTATTTAGTAATTGCGAGGAGTAGGGATAACAGATTGTTCCGCCTAATGTCACATTTGGTAAGTTACACAATACGGCGATAAAAAGTTACGCGAAATGATATTAGATTAAACACCATTAGGAATATTAAAATTGTGCGAAAAACAATTAGGCTGACCGTTTACGTACCAAAGCGAATTAGGAGTACAAAAAAATAGGCGACCCAATATTCATCCTATATCCACATTTGCGTCGCTTGACACCACGACAACTCAAATCGAATCAATACATTTTTAGTTGCCTATCCACGAAACTTGCTTCAAACGGTTTAACTGCTGTTGCGCGTTCGCAGAACAGCGCTGCTAGTAAAATTCATCTAGAAAATAGAAACATATCCGCTTTAAAAGGAAATTATCCCCTACTTCACATATGTCAAAATTATACAAATAGATGAATTATAATATTTGAGATAATAATAATACTTCTTTTTTGTAAAGGAATTTATTTACACACAAATCTTTTACCCTGAATTTCTTAGATTATAAATAAATGTTTCGTTATTACTTTACTAACAAAAATATACTTATTCTACTTTTGGTTTAAAATAACGGCACATAAGTAATTAATAAATTGAAAGAAACATATTCAAGTTACCAAGTAAATATTTTTATTACACTACTATAAATATATTCACCACCATATTGGCATGTTTATTGTTATTTGTATAACAATAAAAATAAAACATATATGAAATATTGGAAAGAATATTTCTTAAAACATTTGAACTAATTTGTGGGTAAACATTTAATAGTCTTAATTAGCTATCTTACTTTAACCAGGGATTGGTCATATAGTTCAGAAATACATTTTGTACCAATTATTATGGGCCAATTTGAATCAAAAAGTCAATAAATGTGTACTTTCGTATAATCACAAACTAAGTAGATCTCATATCCACTCTCAATGGAACGTATTGTAGAAAATTATTTTTAAGTATAACTTAAAGACAAAAAATATTTTCAAACATTGTAGCAAGTTCTTTAAATACTCATTAGATCAATTATTTAACAAAGATATACATAGTAGAAATAAACATCATTTGTAATTTAATTTTAAATTATTAAACAACAATATTAAAACTTTTGAAACTTTAGCACCTAACATGGTGAATTTATTAAATATTTTTCTTTAAGATAAATATCAATACAGCCAACCTAGCATTACCATTTTTATCGACACCCTTTACGGGATAAAAGTGTTACTGCCCCGTTTATATTTGAGACAACATTACGTATTTTATTATTTATGCTACGGAGACTGCATTGTATATACAAAAGTCTACTTATCTTCTTAATCAAGTGTAAACCAGCCGTTAGTGCACTCTTATTAGAGTAGTCACAGTCATTTTTTGGTCGAGTCTTGTGACACCATTGCCTTTGTGAAACATCGCCGTGTGGCACACGTTTGGCATTCAAAATTAATGAAATATAATAATTGAATTACAAAGATAATAATTAAAAAATTAACCAAAACTCATTTAATAGCTACCCAATATGTTTATGTACTCATTTGTTTAAAGGATTGGAAATATTAGTCCATTTAAACGAAAAGCGAAACATAAACAATATGCAGTGTTATCTATAGAACTCTCTATCGTTTCTGCAATGTACTGCGTTTTATTGTACGAGACGCCTGCCTTGGAGACAGAATATATATAGCATATAGTAGCTCTAATGATGTTACTGTAGATGACGCTTTTATCAAATCACCACAGCATAGAAAACATTGTATAAATCGTTTCATTAGCATGTTCTAGACCAGTGGTTCCTAATCTTTTCATTTCTATTGCCCTATGACCTAAAGGGAAATAATATAACAAACTAAATACAAAAAAAAAATAGATATTTATTAATAAGTGATGGTTATTAACGGTTTGCACTCACGTTTTTTATTTAAGATTTAGTTACACTTAAAGCAAATAGAAAATCATTTATTATAGTCTGTCTGAAATAGTATTGTAAGTGTTAATTTTAATTTAAATAAGCCATAAAACAAATATTTCGGAAAAAGGAATGCATTTTCTTGCCTTAAAATAAAAGCAAAGTTTAAAGTTGTTTTATACACGTGAAAACGCTGTCCGATATATTCATAAAGTCAAGACGTCATTCCGATATGTATACAAAAAAGATGCACTGAGTAGTAGATTGAAAGGTGTCAATAAAACAAGAAGAGTGCCATCTTACGGTCGATAACGAAATAAAAGATATAAATCTAGGAATTTGATGGATAATAAATAGGCGTTGTTTACGACTAATTTGACAGCTGTTGCCAGAGTGACGCTATACAATGTCGGGTTGTATTATCAATGTATTAATAAAGGCTCACAAAAAAACATCTCGATTTATAATTTTAAGATAATCATGTGATTTTAAGACTCAAAATCAAAATCCCTATGTTTATTAAAATGTAATCAAAATATAAAACGCTTTTATTTTAATGCAATAGTTTTTAAAGTACCTTCACAATTATCTCGAGTTTTGACAGCTGTTATAACCTCAAAACATTATTTACAAATTACGAATCTCCCTGGCCTCCAAATGAAAAAAATGCTAAGATATTATTCTATTTTATGCAAAAACTAATTTAAACTAATGGTTGGTAGACGCGTCCTTTAAAAAAAAAACATGTGACAGGTCAATCAATGTATGAAAAGTGGACATGATTCTTTTAGTTTTTGTGCAATTTCGTGACTTTTTTTCACTATTGAAACTACCCTATTATTTCTTTATTTACCAGATTAGGAACCACTGTTCAAGACGGACTAGTAATTAAATTGGCCATGCGTTATATAATTCTTCGTACTATACACTAAATAAATATCAGTCTTCACATAATGATCTGCGGCTCGGGTACCGAGAGGGCTATAGACTTGTGCGGCAGGACTTGACCACCATTAACGTACAGTTCATCTTTCACTATGACGTCTTCTCCTAAAACAGTACAGTTCTCCATTCTCACCCAGCGGCCGACAACCGATCGCCAGCCGACTATGCAGCCGTCGAGCCACGCGTGCTGACGTACGCAGGCGCCGCGCAATATAGTACTTCGTTTTATGCACGCACCTAAACCAAAGAAAGGAAACTATAAATACTATACGAATCAATATAACACAAGAAGGCCCATTTTATTTCTTCGAAAAAAAAATCGTCTATTTTGAAACGCTCATACGATTCGGAAGAATATTGTAATTCATTTTTCGATAATCTATGATGCAACGGAGGTACGACCGGCCACTGAATTGAAATTTTTGATTTGAACTGTGCTAGATCAATCAAGATATCACAGAATGGTACCGTCGTGACGGACAACGAAAAAGAGGTAGGCAGATAAAGAGATGGGAAGATGACCTACCGAAGGGATGGAGAAGAGCAGCCAGAGATAGAGGGGAATGGGCTAAGCTGGAGGAGGCCTTTGTCAAAGGACAACCTGGCGGTACAGATGCCGATGTCGGTGGAAAAAACTAAATTGTAACTATAATTGATATACAAAGTCAGAGAATAAAGGCTATTTTTATTTATTTATTTTATAGATCAATCAGCCAGCAGATCACTACGCCATCGAAATCTTTGCTTACCGTCTTCTACAACAACGTCGGGACCAATCGTGACATTAGGTCCTATCCGGCAACCTTTACCAATGGTGGCAGTTGGATCAATCAGAACGTTACCCACGACCCCACTACCATCGTACAATTTGTTTGAATTCTTCTGCCGCAAACTTGTTAGGTAGAGACACATTCCTGCAATTAGATATGCCATAGTTTTATTTGCATCTTTTTTTATTATTAATAGGTTCCCTCTTGACCTAAAATATACAAATATTATAGTTGTTAAATTTACCTGTTAAAAAGTCTTTGGGTTGTCCCACATCCATCCAAAAACCTTGAAGTTCCATCGCATGGAGTTGACCATCTCTAGCCATGAATGGGAACACTTCCTTTTCAATAGACATTGGTCTTAACTCTATCCTACTCAAAACAGAGGGATTTAAAATGTACATACCTAGAAAAAAATATATATATATAAACACAGAATTCTGAAGTATCTATAGGACAACCTCAAGTGTCAAGTTATCCTATAAAAAAATACTTTAAAACAGGATTGAAACTTGTAACCTTTTAGTATCAGATAAACTATTGTTATAATTGTGTCATAGGCAGAGAAATTACTTTTAAATAATTTCTCTGTAAATTGTTATTATGATGTGTGCAATAAAGTGTCAAATAATAATAATAATTTTTGTGAGATAAATTTTAATATATGTAGCTTTTTTTTACATTGAAATGCTTTAGGCACTTCCCCTGCTACCTAGTAATATACCTAGCATTGTTAATGTACAAAAATATTACACACCAGCATTGATTTTGTTAGAAATGAACTCTTGTGGTTTCTCAATGAAACTCTCAATTTCACCATCTTCCTTATAGACTACAACACCATACTTTGATGGTTCTTCTACTTTTGTAACAACTATAGTGCCTTCCTAAAATAAAGCAAAATTGTTGGTTATTGTATGTTAAATTACCAACACAGGTTAGGTAAGGGTCATAGATGTATTATGGATCAATAGTTCCCTTAAACAGAACTGCTGTTCGTCATACTGTGGCCAACTTTGGCTAGGGCCATGGCTATGCTATGCTGTGCTGCTTTTAAATATTAAGAAATACATTTTTATATTAATAGTCAGATTGATAGAAATATAAAACACATATTTTTTTTTCCATAATCATTAAATTACAGCAATACATTGAGTTAAAATATCAAATATCAAACTGTGACATTGCGAGCCCCCACTCCTCAACTTCAAAGTCCGTTAACTAAGCTATTTCTTGTTAAAAAGAAGAAAAAGAGTATTGTATCTAATAATTGTCTATTATCTTACTGACTAAAAAGAATTTCTTTCTCATTACAGAATTATTATAAGCACTTTTAATAATTTTGTTAGATTAAGATTATTTTGACTTTAAATTTGTAAAAAACTTCCAAATACTCTAGTACTGACCACTATATTTATGTAACCACAAACTGAGTAATGATCCAGGACTCTGCATACCCTAGACAAATTCATATTTTCCATCAGTTACTTCAGAGTTTTAGTTAATAAAACAAAATAACTGTTAGGATTTATAGATCACTCATTGGTCCACTAGCACATAAAAATGTTTTACTGCATTATCAGAGGTGCACAAGTAAAAACAGATAATTTGTACTTAAATAAAAACTATAATTATCAATATAGATATTATTTATATTTTACCCCTCTAAAAACATCAAGCTTCTGAATTGCACCTCAGATAAGTCTTATTACCATAGTGTTTAATCAGACAAGTCTTGTTATACACAACACTTAAAACAATGGCTCATTGTATGCACTAGCTTATGGTTGTATGGTTGAGTTTTAGTAACATAAACTTTAAGATAAAAAAACAATAATTTATAATAATAATAATATTTATTTTCAAAGAATTCTACACATAGGTTTAAACTCAATATTATAATTGAGTAGCTTCTGTGCCTGAATGAGGTTTATATTCTAAACCTGAATCTTAGGCTCCCGCGCACACTGCCTCATTATACAGTCTTAATATAAGTTTATGTATCTAAACAACTAGGTAACAACAAATAAACAAGTTACCTTGCCATGACTCCTGTGATATTTAGCCAATTCTTTAAAAGGAAAGTCGCAAATAACATCAGAGTTAAGAACAAAGAAAGGCTCAGGATTACTGTTCAGCAATTCTTTAGCAAGAGCCAGAGGTCCTGCAGTACCAAGAGGTTCTGTCTCATGAGAAAATGTTAATGACACGCCAAGCTTAGACACTTGCTCAGTTAATTCCTTTTCCATATCCTCAGCTCTATAGGAAACAGCTAGAATGACCTAAAAATATAAGCTTATTAATAATAACATTTATTTAGATTTAGTAATAATTAATGTTTAAAAGCTATGTGGAATAATAAAATTATGAATTATTTACTTGAGTGACACCGGCGTCTACCAAAGCTTCGATTTGGTGCATTAAGATTGGTTTATTGGCAAATTCAACCAACGGCTTTGGCCTACTTAAAGTCAGCGGTCTCAAGCGTGTTCCATAGCCTCCCACTAGTATAAGAGCTCGTATTTCTCCCAGTTTCTTGTCTGAACCACACATCTTAGGAGAATCTTCAACAATTTGTTGACGTATGTTTTACTTGCACTATTTGTATACGTGGCGTAAATTAATAAATACAAATGATTATCTTTTATTTATTTTTTTATATAGACGAAATGAAAAGATGGCCGTAACTGATAATTAATTAAGCTAAAATATCCATCAATATTCAAAATTAAAGCATAAAGAATTCACAACTTTTAAAAATAATTAAAACATTACAGTTTCCTTCCAAATTCCAAAAACTATATAATCTGTGGTAATTAAAGTATATAATGAGGAAGTATTAAAAAAAAAACGAAAGCACTAAAAAAGCACCTCCACTAGATGGCGACTCTAGTAAAAGTTGGTTTTTGCAGGAAACGAATGACAAAGACAGTAATTTCTGTTCCTTTAACTAACATATAAAAAACTGAAATTTAAAAAGTTTTTAAGTTAGATATCAATACAAATACGAAAAAGTACAAATAGAATATGAGTTGCTCATTGAGTTTTGAAAACTAATTTACTTTTAAACTTGAAAGAAAACCGGAAAGGTTCTCATGGAGAAATCAAGAACGTACCGTAGCGACATCTAGTTTGATCTCAGGAACTATTTTTTTTTTAATCTTTCCTCATTAGGGAATTAGTACAGACCAATAAGAGAACCAGGGGAACAAGCTAGGACTGAGCGTATTCATTTGAATTAGTCTTTGGAATAAATTTTTGCTTGAACGTCTAAATACTAGGTATCGAATAAGCAATCAACGCGTATCGAGTATTTAGAAGTATCAACTTACTCGTTATTCACACAAATCTCGAGACTCTGAGACGCGGACGCACACTCAGGCGTCCAACGCGTTTCGAGTATTTAGAAGTCTCGTACTCACATAAACTCGGAGACTCAAAAAATAAAATGCATTTTATTTGCACAGTAATAAGGTAAGCGTCCGACGCCATCACGTGTTAGTAAAGCTTATAATCTAGCTTCTAGCTCGGACCTTTGCTTTGTTGTCTATTTGATTAATCATATCAGTCGTTTCGGTATTTTGTATTGTTTACCATTGTAAAAACTAGTACTTAATAAATGCTTACACGTAATAATAAAAATAATATAATATTTTTTATGGTATTAGAATGTTTGGACTAATTTATTTATTTTATTGAGTGTGAACAAATCGTATTACGATTTGTTCATACTCAATAAATTTTATTTAAAAATACAAAATAATTATTACTTCGCAAAAGTATTCAGTGAATAATCTTTCAACTTTAGGAACTTTCTAGTCACACACAATTAAATTAAATATTTAAAAAATCATTAGTTCACGAAACCAAAATTGATGTCGTTACGGTACTTTGTTAATTCTCCGTGACAATCCGGTTTTCCTTCATGTATAAAAATAAATTCTCCATCTAGCGAGGTGCTTTTTAGTGCTTTTTTTTCTTAAAATTCCTCCATAAAGTAACTTATTTATAGAAAGGTAACTTCCTCATTATAGCTGTATCAGAGCCAGAGCAAAGAGAGCTGTATTGTCGATCGAATGTTCTTCTTCTTTAGCCCGACTCTACTGTATCAGTCTAGGCCTCTTTCATATTTTTTTCCATTTATCTCGACATTGAGCTCTTTCCAAACATTTGGAACCTTCAACCCTCTTGATGTCGTCTTTCCAGCACGGTCGAAGATATATTTATATAATAAAATATAATAAAATAAACTCACTGATATAACAAAAATAAAAAAAAGTAGTGTCAATGTCAGTGTCGTTACGTAAGTTTGCTAAAGTTGGAATTTGACTGGCATACTGTCAATCAGTATCAAAATTCGTCTTTTCTCTTCTTTAGATTAAATAATGGCTGTCCCTGCTCGAATTTTGGCTAGGTGTAAAGGTAAAAGAAAGCTTTTCTATCAAACAATAATGGAAATTTTTCCTCTATACATTTATGTTCATCTGTGTGACTGATATGCCCTTCACTTAATTTTCTGAAGTCGACTTCGTGATATCCAATGTTAACCTTGTTTACTTTAACGCCTAGAAATAGAGTTTCATCTCGTTAGAGCAAATAGTAGGTATACTTTGCCTAAAAACGTAATTTCTCATTTTCATATGTAACAAATTGGGTTGGTTATTCAACGTTGATTTCATTGTTATTGGACAAGACCTTCATCTAAAAATATAGTGGGTATAATAGCTATTATATTATGTAAACTACACATTAATTTAAAGTTCATTAATTTTGTCAGAGACATTAAATATACATTACTACATACATATACAAATCTCTGATTCTCACTGATTTGGTAGACCCATTGTTCATAAAACTAATTAGTCAATGATGTTTTGACCTTTGACATTGTCATCATGAAGCACTTTTATTTTATTTGTTGAAGTTCAGGGCTGAACCATCTGATTTGTTTTAAATATTTAAGTTTCTTTTTAAATAGTTAAGAAATATTTAAAAAAACTTACATACTGTAATCTAATATCTTTTGTGTCTCTTACATCTGGTTTCTGAATTGAGAATTTAAAGTTAAGCACTTCTCTAACTGCTCATAAACCATCTTAAACATCATAAACCAGGTTTTTATTTCTGAGAATAATTTTTAAAACTAGGACTAGGCAATTTGATAAAACTATGACATTTTTACCATCTGTAATTTAAAAAACTTAATTCATTAAGAATAATCAGTTGAGATTTTATACTTTTCTCAATTCGGAAACCAGCTGTTAGTCACGAAATATGTTTTTATTTGATAAAATAAATTGTATAGCAGTTTTAATGTTAAGTAAAGTTTCAATCAACTATTTATTGCATTCTACAATTGGTGGTTCTTAATTTGACACTAAATAGAAAATGGCAAAATTTAAACAGTTTGTAAGTTAAAAAGTGTTTTATGATATTTGTAGTTAATTTAGGCAAAGGAATTATTTAAAATCTAAATTATCAAGACCAATATTAGATGTACTGAAAAATTTTAAACTGTCATAAATTCTGACTATGATAAATTAACAGTTTTGATAGATTAAAGAATAAGAACATATTCAAATTAAAAAAAATACAATATTTTTATAATATATTTTATTTTGTCATTTTTATTTCAGATGGATTAAAATTAACTAATGTCAGATTCCAATCATGCACTCCTTATGCGGAAACAAGGAAGAATTTGGCCCTTACGGCTGATACTAAAGTCATTGTACAGGGATTCACAGGGAAGCAGGGCACTTTCCACAGTCAACAAGCATTAGACTATGGCACAAAAGTTGTAGGTGGAGTCTCACCAAAGAAAGCTGGTCAGGAACATCTTGGGAAGCCAGTTTTTGCCACGGTGAGGGAAGCAAAAGAGGCAACTGGGGCTCATGCTAGTGTCATCTATGTACCACCGCCAGGGGCGGCTGCGGCTATCATAGAGGCTATTGAAGCTGAGATGCCATTAATTGTATGCATCACAGAAGGTGTACCGCAACATGTAAGCAATTTTGTATATTTATGTCACCGGTAGCTCGGTGGCGTAGTGGATAAGCGTCGCGGCCCGCGATCGTTGTCGTTAAGCAACTTTTGCAAGGGTAGGTGACCGAAAAATGACTATCTCGAGCTACTCCGTGCTTCGGAAGGCACGTTAAGCCGTTGGTCCCGGCGCATTTGCAGTCATTAATACCTTCCAATCCGCATTGGGCCAGCGTGGAGGGTCATGGCCCATCCTCCTTAACCATCCATAAGGAAGGCCTGAGCCCCTGCAGTGGGGACGTAAAAAGGGCTGATGATGTCACCAGGAAATAACAACTCTCCTTTTCACCACCATTGTTTGCCACAGAACATAAACAAACCGGTTGCTAGTATGTTTTTAATGTTGTAACTACAAAAATATGTATTTTATTTTGCTAACTTTATTTAAATAGACCAATATATCAGAGAAGGGCCAGGCATTGCAACTATAGTTTATAAATCAGTTAGTCGAATTGTATATTAGCTTTTGGTCGCAAGCATTGCCACTAATGAGAGAATAGTGTATTATTTGCCGCATTTCAAAGCATAAAATTAAAAGCTCTTCTGTGATTGGTTGAACTGCTTAGAATCTTACTGGTTATTTGTTTTTATTAATGTGATAAATTCCAATATTCATTTGATTCCTTAATTCCAGGATATGGTACGTGTGAAACATGCCCTCCTTAGGCAGAATAAGTCTAGACTTGTTGGACCGAATTGTCCTGGTATCATTGCTCCAGAAAAATGCAAAATTGGCATTATGCCGGCAGCTGTCCACAAGCGTGGTTGCATAGGTGTCGTCTCACGTTCTGGCACCCTAACCTATGAGGCCTGTCATCAGACTACAACAGTAAGTTTAAATTTTTTTTTTTTTATTTAGCTTAATACGATTTCTTGTGAAAATTCATTGGATGTTAATAATAATGACTAATTCTAAAACTATTTTATACTCATTATATTGATGGCTTAATGAGTTTTGTAATTAATTGTAATTCTCTGCTTTAACCAATTTAAATATTTTGAATTTGCAAGATTTTTTATATATAAATTTAATAATTCAGAACAATCTGATAATCAAAATGATTTAGTGTTAATAACCAAGTTGTTCATTTTTATAATTCCAGACTGGCCTTGGTCAAACTCTTTGTGTGGGTATCGGAGGAGATCCTTTCAATGGAACGGATTTCATTGATTGTCTAGAAGTGTTTTTGGGAGACCCAGAGACCAAGGGCATCATTCTCATTGGTGAAATTGGTGGAAATGCAGAGGAACTGGCATCTGAATATCTTACTCAATATAACACTGTAAGTATTTCAGGTGCTAGCTTTAAGATTAACTTCATTAATGATTGGACGTCACAGTTCCATTACTTTTGACAGATGATACAAAGAAGTGTACTAATTTGAGAGACTCATTTTAAGATAGATCTTAAATGTTCATGTACACTTGACATTATTAGTTTTTACTTAAAGTGTAATTATTACACTTTTTATTGATATATGATTTACGTCACATATTCAGGGAAATGCGACTAAGGATGGGTGCCAAATTAAAATTTGGAGTAATTTAAAGCAAACTTTTTATACTGAATTAAACATAATGGAAATAAAACTAATCAAACCATGTAATCTCATCTCCTTAACCTCGACTTCTCGGTGAATTCGACCCATTCTGGATGAGTTCTTAATAGTCTAGATATTTTTGTCAGAGCTCTCTATCTTTAATAAACTGCACACGTATCACCAGTATCAGCCAAAATTACTACAAGCATTAAGTCATACAGCCATAGAAATGTTTTAATATCCAGTTTATAGTTGTTTTAAATTAATTTCCTGCTTATTAGTAATAGTATTATTTAAGACGATTTTAGTGGTTATTTAAAATAATGATTTTTTCCTTTGTTCCCATACAGAGCAAAAAGGTAATCGATTGAGACTGCCCAAAAAGGTTTATTTGAATTACCTATTCATGTACTGCTTGTTTCATGTCATTATTTATTGAATAAGAATTTATCATTATTGTATGGATCTTTTGTAGCTATTATTATTAGCAACATGCATCTTGGCAACTTTTCTACGAACATTAATGTCATGTTACATTGTTTAGATAAACTATCCATAGATTTCTCTCTTCCAGTTATATCTCTTATGTTTTTATGAATGAATTATCCGCCACTGTACTTCTTCTGATCATTGGTATTATCACCTAGTACTTTGTATACCTAAATTGAATGTGAAATTTTTCAATATTCTTTAATGGTAATTTTTTTTCATAAATAATTTGCAGGGTCAGAAAGCGAAGCCTGTTGTTTCGTTTATTGCTGGTTTAACAGCACCACCCGGCAGACGGATGGGCCACGCTGGAGCCATTATTTCTGGTGGCAAAGGAGGCGCCATGGACAAAATTAAAGCTTTAGAAAGAGCCAATGTTATTGTCACACGTTCACCTGCAAAGATGGGTGTGGAACTTCTCAAAGAAATGAAACGATTAGAAATTGTTTAAGATAATATTATATTGGTCATAGTATACAATATTGTATGTCTATTTGGTATAGTTTTTTTTAGAAATTATATTGGTATTATTTATTTACCATTGTTGTTTCAGTAATATTCTTAAGTTGTGCCTAAAGACAAAGTTTATAATTATGTGAGAGGATCGTTTTTGATGTTTTTTGCTGTGTACAATACCAGTTACGTAATTATAATTGCAGAATGTTGATTCTAAATATCGCACGAAATTTGTAGTTAGCACCCAAATGTAGAGAATAAGAATATAATTATTATGTCATACTTGTATAAGTGTTACTCGAAATTTATATGAAATAGTAAATTAATCATCTAAGTTAACATCCTGTTTCGCTTTACCTGTTGTATGGTTAAAAATATGTAAACAATACATGCATATGACCACATACATAATTTTTTTATTTAAAAAAATGCAACTTTTATGTACAATATTACTATTGTATCTATATACTATTCTAACAATTTTACTTGTGAACTAATAACTATATCAACTTTTGTTGATTTATTAACAAGAGGTTACACTAAAAAAAACTTAAATTTAACCTATCCTATGAAGACAGGTACTTCAGAGGATTGATATCACAGTTTGGATTTATCAATCAATCGAAACATTAGCGTCAATTAGAGACCTTCCAAGTGTTATGTAAGAGTGTGCATTAAGCACACTCTTACATAATACTTGGAAGTACTTTGTGACAAGATGGAGAATGTCTTAATACATTTAGATACAAATTTTATTCTAACTTGAATGGTCTGTTTTTATTGATGTCTAATAACTTATGATCTACATTTTGAGATACTGATGTCTAAAAGCTTAATGATCTACATTTTGAGATAAAATCACCAACGGTCTCTTCTGCCGCCACCTCCGCGTCCTCCACGTCCACCTCGACCTCCTCGACCACCACGTCCTCCTTCATGTTCCCTCCTTAGTTTCATACTTTCAAATCGTTTAGCCATTAATTCCAGTTCTTCTGGAATTTCTTGATTAGCTTCCTCTAGTATTTTAATCAGTTCTCCAGCTTGTGCCCAGTCATGCCTTGTAACAAATGTTAGTGATACTCCAGTTCTTCCTGCACGGCCGGTCCTGCCAACTCTGTGCACGTACTCCTCAATGTGACGTGGGAAGTCCAAATTCACAACATGAGTGAGGTCCTTTATATCTATACCTCTGGATGCTACATCAGTTGCTATTAGAATGTTGACAGTGCCATCAACCATTTCTTCTAAAGCAGCTTCACGGTCACTCTGATCTCTATCACCATGTAAAGATTGACATTCTATACCTTTTAGACAAAGCTCAGTGGTGATATGAGTGGCTGTAGCTTTTTTTCCACAAAATACAATGACTTTGTCATTTGGATCCATATTCATCAAGAAGTCAAATAATGCAGGTTCCTTGTCATCTTCTTCTAAGAAAAGTAGTTTCTGAGTGACTGTGTGTACAGCAGCGAGATCTAATGATCCAACATTAACTTGGATAGGATCTTTCATATAGGATTCTGCAAGTCTTCTTACGCCTGGGGGCCATGTCGCAGAAGTCATGACTGTTTGTCTGTCAGGTCGAACATCAAAGAGAGACTTTCTTATTTGTGGTTCAAATCCCATGTCCAGCATTCTATCAGCTTCATCAAGGACTATGTAGGAAAAGTTTATTATGTTCAAGTGACGGGCCATCACCAAGTCATTCAGCCTTCCTGGTGTTGCAATCACAATATCTACACCCTTGGAAACAACTTTAATTTGCTCTTTGCGGTCTCCACCCCCATAGAGACAGACTGATTTAATACCACGATACTGATATTTAGAGACTTCTTTGTCTATTTGTAATGCAAGCTCTCTTGTCGGTGCCATTATCAACACAGTGGGTCCCTCTCTTTGTTCCTTTGGGATAGTTTGTCCATCAATGTGTATGAGAGCAGGTAGTAAGAAAGCTAAAGTTTTTCCTGTTCCTGTTTGTGCTATGCCAATCAAATCCTCACCTCTAAGAAGAATTGGCCAAGCTTGACTTTGAATTGGTGAAGGTTGTTTAAAACCTTGCTTGTAAATTTCATCCAAAATTTCTGGGTAGTGCTGGAATGCTTGTTCAAATGTTAATACTGGATTGGGGATAGGTCGAAGGCCTGGTTTATCATCGAATGTTCTCTTGACTTGTATATCATGATTAGCACGACGCCAACGTGCTACTTCAGCTGGTGGCATAGAGGTAACTGTAGGGTCCTCTTTATAGAAATCTTTGACAATAGGAGGTAAATTTTGCCAGCGATTTTGTTGTTCTTGTTCATAAGCTGCATTCAGTTTATCCCAATCGATAACTTCAACACCGGATTCATTTTTTTTAAGATAATCACTAGATCCAGTGCTATTATTAAGATTTTCTTTAGGAGGAGGAGCAGGCCTGTTATCTTCAATTAGTTCGTTAATCAAGCCTTCTACTTTGCTCACAGCTGCTTCAGAACCAATTAAAGTTATTGAAGAGTAATCACCTTCAGCATCGCCTATTTTAATTTTAGCTCCTGAATCTTGTTCTAACTCACGAATTTTGGATCCGCCTTTGCCAATTATGCGACCTACCATTTGAGAAGGTACAGATATATTTTTTTTGTTACCGTCATTCTGTTGATAATTTCGCCGTTGTGTCGTTCTAACATCGCCATTGTTCCCACGTTCACGCCAATAGCCATCGTTGCGTCCTCTGCCACCACCACCTCTGCCTCGGCTTGGACGGTATTCACGAGACTGGAATCTATTTTCTTGAGGTGCCGGTGCGGAGGCAACTGCAACATCGTTTTCTAGCCATTCGTCTTCAAAATTCATATTGAAAGTAATAAAATTGGAACAAGACCTTTATATTGATTTTCCTCCGAACAACTTTTGATACTATTCACTTATTTATCAACGGAGAAAACCTCTCTGCTGTTAGCTTTGTCAACTAAATTTCGGGAGAGCTTCGGCTAGTTTGAGTTTACCGAAAGAAAATACCACGCTCGAGTTGCGTCTAGGGATGCAGCGATATATCGGAAAACCGATATATATTAATTCACAAAAATATCGATATCAAAGAAGCATGATATCGATATCTAAAACCAACACATGAAAACCCTAATATCGAATGAAATACTAAGAGTAAAGCGTTTTCCATGTAATAAATATTACATTAGTATTATCACAACCTGATTTTTGCTTAGAACAAATTTCAAGTAGTTTTTATTACTACAATTTGTACTTAATTTTAAAATACTGTGTTATTTCTAAACTATTTAAAGTGGCAATACGACATTTTCCCATTCTCATTAGGAGCATGCCTAATGAGAATGAACGTTTTAAAAGAAGCACGCAGAAGATAAGAAGATCGAGCAATGCTTTGTTTGTGGTAAACGTCACGTTTCTAGGGTTTATAATATCGTATGGGCGCACCGGAGATAAGTGACATTTCGGTGTAAATGGCGTGCTCGTGAGTTTGTCATGGTATGCGTGCAGGATACAACATTACACGAAGTAGGAACAGATTTAAAATTCAACCTCTTTTTATTCTTTGATGAGGAAGTATTTAAAATAAAGCATTAGTTCCCGAAATCAAATTAGATGTCACTACGGTACGTTCTTGATTTCTCCATGACAACCTTTCCGGTTTTCTTTCAAGTTTAAAAGTAATTTAGTTTTCAAAACTCGATAAACAACTCATATTCCATTTGTACTTTTTCGTATTTGTGTTTTTGTGTTGTAATTTCTAGAAAAAAACTTTTGCTAGAGTCGCCATCTAGTGGAAGTGCTTTTTTAGTGCTTTCGTTTTTTTTAAATACTTCCTCATTGAATCAAATGTAGAACCTGCAATAATTTCAGTTTATTAAATTGAATTTATTAAATTGAAATTAAGTTTATTGCTTTTAAGAATATTTTGTTTTCAGCCAATTTCATATGCTAACCCGGCGAACATCGTGCTCGACGTGTTCACAGGGCGTAATGTGCACGCTTCTCTGGTTTCAGAAACTTGGTTTAAACCACGTCTGTTTTCCGCCACCTACACTCTCCCCAATTTTACTGTTATTCGTAATGGTCGCAGTGGTAGAAGGGGGGGTGGTGTTGCAATCTATCTTGTAATAACTTTCCCTACAAAATTATTGCTTGCTCTGGTTCTGATTCCTGCACTGAATTTCTTTTCATGGAAGTTGGTACAGGTCGTCGTCGACTTATCCTTGGGGTAGTTTATTGTCCACCTTCCGTCAACTATTTCTCCGAAATTGAGTTAGTTCTAGAATCCTTGGGTTCTGAGTGTGCGCATCACGTTATCATGGGCGATTTTAATATTAATCTTCTTTCACCTTATTCCTATCGATCTCGTAACCTTTTCCATATCATTAAGTCGGCCAACTTACACCTTCTTCCTCTTCAAGCAACTCACCATAAAGTTGGTGGCGAGAACTCATGGCTGGACTTGATTTTCACCTCTAACCCTTCCCTAGTCCTTTCACATGGCCAACACGTTGCGTTTGGTTTTTTTCGCTATGATCTCATTTTCATTTCCTACCTCATTAAGCCCCCAAAACCCACTTCTCAGTTTCTGCACAGGCGATCCTTCGTGCGCATGGATATAAATAGACTACAAAATGATGCCTCAGATATTTGTTGGGACCCATTGATCCAGGCTCCTAATGTTGACTCAATGATTCAGTTCTTTAACAAAATAGTTATAGGGATCTACGATGTCCATGCGCCAATCAGGAAAATCAGGTTAAAACGATTGCCGGCACCTTGGATGACAAATGGTATTCGGATGGCGATGCGACGCAGGCATCGGGCTTTTCGTAATTATAAAAAGGATCAAGCTGAAGAGAAATGGACTGCGTTTAAAATCGCTAGAAATCGATGTAACCAGATGATACGTAATGCAAAACGTTGCCATATTCTCAATAATATTTTTTCCGCATCTTCTGCTGATATTTTCGTTAAAGCCATTATCTGGAATGCACTCCCCACAGACATCAGAATGCCCGTCAGTCAGTTTGCTTTTAAAACCAAGTTGCGCAATTTAATATTAGATCAGGCAGAATCATAAAAATTGCTATCTTCTTTCAACTAGGCATAGTATTTATAAGTATGTATTGTATTTATTTTTATTATATTATATATGCATTATGTTATATATAGTATGTATGTTTGTGTTATGCTTATTTTTTAAATATCATTTTTTTCTCTCAATGATTACATATGCACCTGCTTTTATCCTTTATTTTAATCTCCACATCACCTAAAGGTTGACTGGCAGAGAATGCCTAAGGCATTAAGTCCGCATTTGTACGATTGTGCATAAAGAATTAAATAAATAAAACCTTCCTCAAGAATTGCTCTACCTATTGTTGAAAACTGCAGTTCTTTTCGGGTTTATAGCGAACGCATACAGACAGACAGGAGAAGCGGGGTACTTTGTTTAATAATACCTAAGACAACATAAAAAAAGTTCTTTTTCTACATTGAATCGACTGGAAATTGGCGTGCAAACTAATTGGCTTAGGAGGTTTTACTTTTACATAATTAACCCTTTTGTTTAATTACCATTAATATTTGTCTATCTCACAAACCTAATGCTTAAAATATAGTTTAGAAATTATACGACTTGTGCATCTATCAACATTGTTTCCTTTATTTTCTCTTGTTTATTAAATACAGTTGTACATTTCTTTCAGTTTAGTTAAAACTGTGGCGACTGATACATAGCGACATCTAACTCATCGCACTAACATCGCCACAACAATCGATAGCGAGAAGACTAGCATTGTCACAGCCATCGATAGCAAGACGAACTGCAAGAAGTTTCAACACCGAGTAACGAGATGGCGCTGTACCAATACGAACATCATAAATTTATAACTACAAGGCAATTAGAACAAAGAAACCTACATTGCACAGAATAAGTTTCATTATCAATTAGAATAAATAGAACTTTTAACCTACATCGGTTGGACCGCGGTCCCCGGGCTAAATACACCTAGCTCGGAGGGAGACAATTATCCTTTAGTTTCCCTGGCCAGTTGTCTCCATCATCCAGTAGAGACCCAACCATTCAACCTTACGGTTTTACGGTTCTAAAAAAACTATTTATTTATAATTGCAAAATGTCAGCTTTAGATAATTCACATAATAAAATAATTATATAATAATTAAATAAAAATATCCTACCAATATACATATCTACTTATCAACCTTGGTATCATATTTGACTAGTATCTTATATGGAAGCCTCAAATAGATGCACTGAGAAAAAAGTGTTTGCTGCGTACAATTCGCTAAATAGACTTCGAAATTTCCTACCAACTAAAACTAAAATCACGCTTGCACAAACTCTCCTACTTTCCATCATTGACTACGCTGATGTTTCCTATACTGATCTAACCAAGGAACTCCTCAACAAATTAGAGCATCTGCAGAATATGTGTATTCGGTTTATTTTTAATTTTCGCAAATATGACCATGTGTCGCATTACCGCTCAAAATTTAACTGGCTCCCTATTCGCTGGCGCAGGGACTTACACACTCTTACGCTTCTTTATTCTGTTCTTTTCTTGCCCATGTCTCCACCCTACTTAAAATTTTTTTTTCCTTTCGCAACTCCTCATCCAGATCACAGTGTATTCTGCGGTCTGCCTCAAACCTGAAACTTGATATCCCTCCTCACTCCTCTGACTTCCTATCCTATTATTTTTCTGTTCAAGCTGTTCGGCTTTGGAACTCGTTACCAGAAAATATTAGGAAGACTCGCACTTTGCGATCTTTCGTAGCAGAAGTAAAATGTCACTTTCTTTCCAACTTTTAACTCTCTCTCTTTCGTGTACATTATGTATTTTTCTCTTTGTGTATATCTATTTAATTCCTGTCGCTATTGCACCTACTCCCCGTCATCATTCATTATTATTTATCTATATTTTCTATGTTACCATGGGTTTGCCTGGACGAGATTGCTGAATAGCAATAAGGCCGCCTTTTGTATACTGTCTAATCTTTTTTCTTTCTTTGTAATGTGTCCTATATTTGTGCAATAAAGAATATTATTATTATTATTATATCTATCTATAATATATAAAGCCGAATATTTATCTAATCTTAATATTATAAATAGGAAAGATTTGATTTTTTATTTTTAAGGGCGCTTGTGCACTACACTGAATTTTTATGTCCGGCGGTCCGATTTTTTCAGGTCCGATATGTCAGGCCACATGTAGTCAGGAATTTTACCGTCCGGAATTTTACTTTTCTCTATTCCGGACCGGTTTTTTCAGGTCCGTGATGGCGGCAATGAAAAACGTGTTTACGCTTGTGCACTGCTGTGTCCAAGATCCGGAAAATTCATAACGAAATAGGCTTCGGAAAAAATAATCGATTTGAATCGGCAATATTGTTAATTTCCAATAAACTTATAATCGATGTTTATTTATTAATTATAAAATGCTATATTTTATATGATGATTTAATATAGTTGATATATATAACTGCATAAGCTTTGGCAAACTCGGTATAGTTCTAATTTGATCAGCGTATGGTTCTAGTATCGATACTTAGCTAGATTTTAGAATCGTATTTAAAGTATCGATAGCTTAAGGTAAGATTAATAAGTGTTGTTACGCTTAGACGCCTAAATAACTGAACCCATCTCAATGGAAATTAATATAGTAAATAGACTTAACTTTAAGAAAGAACACAGGCTACATTTTATCGCGAAAAATAGGGGATGAAAGTTTGCCTGGAAATTTGTCATTATCAAATTTTTTTTAGACAGTTGATAAGTATAGATAAATATTTGACAACAGAAGTAATAATAAAGAATAAACAGAAGATTAACAAAAGTAATTTAGTGACAGTCAATGTCTTTTTCGCATTTAATAAAATTTTAAATGTATGTTTGTGTCATTAATAAAATAAAATAAAAAAAAGTATTCTAAGGGGATTATATTTCTGCTCAAAGTAACTACACCACGCGTATAAAATTA